CGAGGACCTTTGTTGACTTGTGAAGACATGTAAGGACTTGTGATGGGCTTGTGAGGACTTGTCATGGACCTCTGAGGAGCTGTGAGGACCTCTGTGGACTTGTGAGAACTTGTGAGGACCTACGGGGACTTGAAAGGACATATGAAGACCTGTAAGGTCTTGCGAGGTCTTGTGAGGTCTTGTGATGGACCTCTGAGGAGTTGTGAGGACCTTTGTGGACTTATGAGGACTTTTGAGGACTTGTGGTGTCTTATGAGGTTTTTGAAGGACCTGACTACAGCAATGAACAAAACCCTTTACAAACAAAAAATAGGTATGGCTTGAGTAAAATTTTGGTCAAAATTGTACACGTATGCGAAAATTACACAGCTGAGATTTTATTCATACCTTCAGCAATGATGTATCTCTGCATGCAACCACAGGGCTTGGAGGATATGTGCAGGCAGGCAAGTCGGTCGGCTACAAAAAAACAAAGACATCCACAGAAATTGGATCAAGTAGAAATCTCCTAAGCATACTGGAAGGAGTCGCACAATGGTCGCTCAGCCTAGCAGTACATATACCATGGAGCGCCATGGTCCAATGGTTATGTGCAATGATATGTGGGTTACAACCCTGACGAGGAACACGGTGATTGTGTCCTTGGGCAAGACACTTTACTACAATTGCCTCTCCCCACCCAGGGGTACAAATGGCTAGAGACCTGGGGCCAATTTCATAGAGCTGCTTAAGCAGAAAATTTGCTTAAGCACAAAAACGTCTTGCTTAATAAAATCAGGTTACCGGCCAAAACTCCATGCAATTGTTATGCTAAGTAAACAACAGCTAAATACCAGTCACAAGCAATGTACATCACATGGAGATTGGGCCGGTAACCTAATTTTACTAAGCAATGTTTTTCGTGCTTAAGCAAAATTTCTGCTTAAGCAGCTCTATGAAATTGGGCCCAGCTGGAGCCAATTTCACGGCGCTGCTAAGCACACAAATTTGCTTAACACAACAAAACTCTGGCTTATAAAAGCAGGTTACCAGCCAAAACTCACTGTGATTTTCATGCTAAGCACACAAAAACTGAATACTAATCACAAGCAATAAACATCACCTGGAGTTTTGGCTGGTTACCTGTTTTATAAGCCAGACCTTTTTTTGTGCTAAGCAAATTTTGGTGCTTAGCAGCGCCATGAAATTGGGCCCAGTTTGCACTGATCTTGAGCTGCTGCAGAAAAGTGGTCTGGTGGCCTGATGAACAGGGGTAATATTGTGAAGTGCTTTGAGATTCTGGTATAATGTGCTGTAAGCACCACATTTTATTAACATTATTGGATCAAAAGTCTTATCTAAACTAGCTGTTACAACATAAACTGGTGGTCTGGTGCAGTTTTTTTCTACGTACCATCAGGATCTTTCAGGCCTACGACGAGTGAAGAGGCAAAACGTTTGGCTTCTTCCTGGTACTTCAACTTGTCTTGTTCAGTGGCCTTGGGCACTTTGTATCGTTCTTGGTTCTTCTCCGATCGGTCGAACCTGATACCTGGATAAACACAGAGGGAAAAGTCTCAAAGTCTCAACTGTTAAATTTCCATTAAAAAGTGACAATATTCTCAACCAATATGACAATATTCTCCAGTTGGATTTAATATTGTCCTGTTATTGGAACAATGATATGGTCTTTAAAAGGTCTGAAGAAGGTCAGTGAAATTTTAACTCTGAAATTTGTTTTAACCTGCTAATGAAAACTAGCGAAGATACAGTCGAATCTCGTTAGTACAAACTCTGTTAATACAAAATTCTGGTTATAACAAACATAAAGCCTTAGTCCCGACTGTGCATTTATGTGCACAATGAATGGGACTGATGTTCCTCTTAATACAAAATTCTGATATAACAAACAATTTGGCTAGGTCCGAACGAGTTTGTATTAAGGAGACTCAACTGTATTAGTATTAATCCACAAACTTTTTCTCTAGGGTAGTTACCTGACTTATTTTGTCTCTGAAAATTGGAAGGAGGTGTTCGGTGGTGGTTGGGGGGGGGGGGGACCTACCGCATGCATTGCAGAGAGTCAAGCGTTTCTTGGTCTCGGGGTCAATCTTGTAGCGTATCCCAAAAACTCTCTTTCTCTTGGGAGTGGCCGTGTTTCCCTTGCTGGTGAGCGATCGGCCAGGCTTGACGATGTAGTTGGAGCCACACTTATCACAGCAGAAAGGAGTACCATCTTCAAAAAAGACAAAACAAAATCGATCAAAGAAAGAGGCAAATGAGGCTTTGTGACGTCATAGGTATAAGGTACAGTGGAATGGAGGGGGAGGGGAGGGGGGGGGGTGGGGTGGGGGAGGGGGAGGGGTGGTAATGGGGGTTGAATAAAGTGCAACGAGTGTCATTGCATCATGGTCAGGTACCTTCACCCCAAGATCTTGACAACAATTCTGCAGATTGTGGGTTCCAGACCAGCCTGTGGGGTTCTAGTACGCATGTCCATGGGCAAGCCACTTTACCACAATACTGCTTTAGCCCACTCTAATGTACATCGGTACCTAGGGCAGGTAGTGCTAAAATCGGGGAGCCAAATCATCTTAGGAATATTTTCATGGTGTGATTTTTTTTTACCTTGGTTGACGTCTGGTTGTCCTGGTTTTCTGGGTGCGTGGGTTGCCGTCGTGACACGCTTTGTTTGAGTACCCAGAACCTCATGAACGAAATGCTTGGACGGCTTTTTGGTGCGGCAGCTTCGTCGTGTTTGGGACACCTGTTTCGAAGAAGGTAAAAGCTTAAATGATTTCTTCAAAACACCCGAGGTTAACATATCAACCTATCTGGTCTTTACTTTCCAGGTATGAAAATAGTTTCCTATATCACACCTCTATGATATAATATCAAGTTATATAGTCAATTAGACCCATTAGGCTCCGCCCACCGCGCATATTCATGCAAGTACACAAAATACTGGCTGTGATTGGCCAAATTATAGGGTGGAACCATGGGCATTGCTATAGGGGGGTCGGGGGCATGCATCCCATTAATTTGTTGTTTTTGTCAGCAAAAATTGTCTCCAGCAAAATCGTGTCTTCCAGCATTAGGCCTATATCATAATATGGTATATCAATAGCCCCATCTTTTGTCTGAAAGTGTCCATTCGTATCTACTTTAAACAGGGTGGCGAATTGTCTGATGAATCTCCCCCCCCCCCCCCAAAGAAAAAAAATCCTGGCTACAGGGGTGTGAATGACCACTGATAAAAATAGCTGAAAAAGGTGTAAAAAAAGCTGAACTTTGGAAATCTCTTATACTTTTGTACACAGCAAGTGAGGGAAAAAGGCTGAAATCCAAAACAGAAAAAGCTGAAATCAGCTTTAAAAGCTGAGATTTCACACTCCTGTGGCTACCTTCCGGAACAGCATGGTCAGTCTGCAATATTTTTGGTAACACCCCTCTCATTCAAATTGGTCTGGCGACACCCGTGGGCGGAGTTAGTGTTGTGGGTTTACCTGCAAGTCTGATGAGCTGCTTTCCTTGCATTGTTCGTCGTTGCTTGCTGAGGATTCTGTGCTCGTTTGTTCTGCATTTTCTGATGTAGCCACGGTCTGACCTGCATTCTTATCTGACGTGACAAATCGTATCACTTGCTAAAATATTACTTAGGCCTACTTATCAAAATATTAATTCGCCCTTAGCTTCCCTACTGCAATCTTTGAAATTTAATAGGGCCCCACATTGAAAATACGTCCCTACATGCTCAGTTACAGTTGCATGATGGGACATATTTTCATTGTGGTTCCCCCTAAAATTTCAAAGATGGCGGTATCCACGAAATCTGATTATGAAATCTGATTAACACTATCGAAGGAAGAAGGTTTATCTTTTAAAAACAAGGGGGATCAACTAAGTCTCAAAATGCATGACCAATAGTTAATTTTAAAAAGCTTGTTATACCAGGTTGTGACAGCCCCCCCCCCCCTCCCCTGCAGAAAAAAGGTACAATATCGGGGACTATAGGGCCTAAATAATCACAATAGGGATAATTGAATCATGGAGGAATTCCTTCCTCCATTATTGAATCAAATTTAAATTATTTTTACATGCAAAAAAAAAAATTGTTAATGATGTACTTAAAATTCCTTTATAATCATGATAATTGTCACAAGAATTCAGCACTGTTTCATTTATTTATGAAAAAAAATAAAGAATACATCACTGCTAAAAAATAGGCCTAACAAAATTTCACTGAAATTTTGTGAAAAGGGCCCAAACATAAACGCGCTCAGCCCGTAGGCCAAAAGTTTTCAACATCATTTGACAAGCAAGGTATGGAGAATTGTGCGTTCATCACAACCGAGCTCGATTCAGCGCGCACATACCACCAGCATTCCTTCCCATTCGGTTGGTTCTACCTCCTCGAACTTTCATCGATTTTCTCCCACGACCTGCGGTTGAACACTTCGCTGATTTTTCCGAGGCGTCTGTTGGCTCAGTAAGTAGTAATTCTTCATTTTCACCGGAATCGCCAGGCGAACAAAAGAGCTCCATCGCGGTCGCCATTTTTGTCTTCTCCTTTTTCGACCGAAAATTACTGAATATTCATTATCATGAATATTTATTTCCTTATTTATTACCCATCGACTACTACATTTAGTGATTTAGTAAAAAAGTGTCCATATTCTGTTCCAATAACATTATATCCTCCAATAATAAGGAATATATTCACTAAATCATGTTTTAAAATAGCAATAAATTTCAGATCATTTTGAAATTTCCTTTTTTATTCCTTTATTTCTCTTTCATAATTCATTGATTTCTTTACGAATACGATAAGCACCCCCACTCGTAAATGTGTTGTATTCCAAGATGGCAGCCTCCATGTGTGGCGAAAGGAAAAGACTCGACCTCAAAAATCAATAAAATCACCAAAATTCTGGCACATTTTGGTGATGTGTAAGTGAACTTGCTACTTTTGATGAATTTTTGTGCGGCGATGACTGCATATATACTTCGTAGATTCGCAGAAAGGCACATTTAAAGTCAAATTTGTGTCGAAGTTATTTCCATACATTATCATCATGTACAAAAAGGATACATGCTTTTGAGATCGGATGTAAGACAGACGTTGAGGGCGCTTTGTAATTCATTCGTATTGACTTTTTTTTTTTAATTCTGATTAAACTGCAAATAGGGTCTGATAATGTTTTTCACTGCTGTCACTGTATGAGGATGTTGGGTGTCTTTTTTGTCTTTTTTTTTGTTTTTTAAAATTTGCCACTATTTTTGAATAAAAAAAGGAGCAATGTGTGTCACTTGACATGCTTGAAATACATTTCAACTTCAAGAGGTATATAAAATTATAATAGGCCTACATGTACATGCTGATCTTGACAGTTTATAAGCCAATTCTACATTTCACTCGCGCATGTGCACATTCCTTATGAACAATGCAATTTTTTAGATAAAACAAAACATGTCACGTGGTCCTAGTCCAATAATATAGCAAGCTTGCAGCATCGATGTTGGTTTGTTAAATCTAAATTTGTGTCCCACAATTCATTGCTCACACGAGATGTTGAATTCGCTTCGTCACATCACATTCAATGTGATTTTCTCTTTAGTCCATGAAGAAGTACATGTATTATAATAATAATAATAATAATAAGACACAATTAAAAAAAAAAGGAGTTCTATACATTTTGTAGCTACCCAGTAACTTGGTCTAGAAGTCAATTTTTTTGTCTCCGGATTTATCCCTGCATTTATTTCTTTTTGCAGGTTAAAAGATGAAGCTAGGAGTTGAACAGCAAATGATAAGGTGAACATCAAGACTCTTATCTTGAGCTGGAGACACACGATCTAGTCATCATGAGCATGCGACGGCAGTCCAGAGTATCCAGTCATGCATCCCTCCCAGAGCACAAATCAGAAGCGGCTTCCAACGAGAGGTCTACACGATCCCGCACTTCCTCAGAAGACCTGGTGGTCCTGGAGCTGCCCAAAATAGTCCGCACGAAACGGTCAGGTCACCAGAGGTCAGGGGTCGAAGTTCAACATGACCCTGTCAAAAACGGCAAGGCAGGCCTCGAAGGAGAGGTATCAAGACGTGGTTTACGAAGCACTGAGCATTCTGTGTCGAAAAATGTAGACGCATCAGTTACTGTTGACTGTCAAAGTAGTGGCGGTGGTGATGCGAAGGTCTTGGGACGTACAAGGAGAAGGTCTGGAAGGGTCACTAATGCTCCAGAAGAGGCTGAAAAAGCTGAAACTGTCCAACAGGATGCCCTAGAAGGAGGTCGATGTTTACGGAGAAGAACTAGGTCAGGCGCATCAACAGATTGTGTTGATAATGGCCCCGCAGAAAGACCAAAGGACAATGATCAAGACCGTTCACGTCACAGAAGCTCTGATGGTGAGGATCATAACTTGCATAAGTTGTTGCCAAACAAGACTTCTGTGAAAGATGTTAGTGCGTCGGATGTGAGGAAAGGTAGTGGGGATGTCTCATCCTCACATGAACACCATCACAAGTCGAAAGACTTGCCACAATCTACCTCAGTACACAAAGCATCCAATCCGTTGAAATCCAAGCAAATAGGATTGGGAGAAACAGTAGAGCAGGCCGGACCTGTGACTGTATCTCTAACAGGACTGCACGGCTCCTCTGAGCAACCTCGGGAGATCAGAGACAAGGTGCCGAGACTTGACCTGCCTTCGGCACCCTCTGAAGGACCACTGTCGCGAACTAGTCAACGGAGAGCACGACAGTCTCACTTGGAAAATAAAAACAATCTCCCGAATGACAAGCAAGAGGCATCCGAGTCAGATGCCGGGGATGCTCACCTCTTGGCTAGCAATGGTGTCAAGGGAGGCAAGACATCTCCTAGGAAAAGAACCCGTAGCGGCAGCACCAGCGTCTCTCCGAGGAAGCCAGCTGAGAGCCAGGAGGCAGTCTCTGTCGAGCCCGGCTCGCCCAAAAGGCGAAGGACAGGGTCCGTGTGCCGGGATCTCTCACAAGATTTTAATACAGCAAAGCTGACGGGCACAGAAACTACCCCTGCTCCAAGTTCACAAGCTGAATGCAATAACAAAATACTGGCTGACCCTCAAGACTCTTCTGGAAACAAGGACACAACTCCAGGAGCAACTGTCAACGACGGCACAGACAAAGAAACTTTTAATCTCATCCCTTTGATACCTGGCAGCACAGATACCAGACAAACTGAAGACACCTTGGTCATGGACACGGTCCTCCCTCAGCGATCCAGACGTCGGAGCGGCACTTCCCCAAGGGGTACCCCTCAAAAACAGGCTCAGCTGGACCTGACCAAATCGCCGACTAGGAGGGGTTTAAGGTCGGGCGGGGCAATCCCAGAAGCCCCTCCAGAGGTGACCCAGAGGTCAGAGGTCACCGATAACGCCCAGAAGGACAGAGAAGCAGTCACGCCCTCAATAAGCCCTGCTGTTAGCCCAAGGAAATCATCGGGTAAGAAGAGAGGGTCCAGCAAGAAGGACAGCACCCTTGGGAAGGGGGAGGCCAAGGAGTCGGGTGAGGAGCCCGGAGAGCAGGGTCAGGAGGCGCGTTTCAGCAGAGAGGAGGTGGACTATCAGGCAGAGGAGTGGTACGAAGACGTGGATGAGACGGAGCCGTTCTACTTTGAGTCGGATCACATGGCCATCAAAGGAAGCAAAGAGTGAGTCAAGTGTGGCAGCGTCACTCATAACGCTTCATGGCGTGAATCTCCGCTTGGGTGCGATTGGTGGATCTGCACTTGATCCCGCTTAAACGAGTTTGTGCATTCGGTCGATCCTTCTGGAAATCTTAAATTTTAATTCACTTTTTAAAACAATCCTCAGTGAATTAAAAAGGTGATCGACCGATGGTAGCATGATGAACCAATGGTGGCACGATCGACCGATAGCTCAGTGCGATCAGCGAAAGTGCAGATCCTTCGATAACACCAAATCATACAAGTACAACTCTTCTAATGTTAGGACCGATTCTCGCGACCCTCCTCAGCATTTTGATTAAGGAAATAAATATGTGCTTTGCCGGGTTTAAACAAGTACATTTAAAACCGGCTGGGGGCCTGGTCACCGATAATGGACGTCACCTTCAGCTCAGGCCGTTGTACGGGACCAGGCTCCAAGCCGGTTTCAAACGTACTTGTTTAAAGAGGTTGTGGAATGCTCGAAGACATTTCCGTCATTTTTCGGGTATATGTAGCCTAAGGCGTGATGAAATAATAACGACTATTGTTTCTGTCATAAAATGAGTACAAAAGGTACTTTTGAGAGCTGTTTTTCAAGTCCTGTCATGCCTGTTTCGACCCGAATGTGCAATTTGTGTAAAAGTCGTCGTTGCGGAGCTGCAAACAAAACACAGTAAATCGTGACGTAAAAAACAGGACTCCCGATGCAGAGTAGCATAAACGAGTCCTGTTTATTACGTCACGATTTACTGTGTTTTGTTTGCTGCCCGCAACGACGACTTTTACACAAATTGCACGTTCGGGTCGAAACAGGACCTGAAAAATAGCTCTCAAAAGTACCCTTTGTACTCATTTCATGACAGAAACAATACTTGTTTTTATTTCATCACACCTTAGGCTACATATACCCCAAAAATGACAGAAATGTCTTCGAGCATTCCACAACCTCTTTAATACCAGCCAAGCACATATTTATTCCCATTCATAAATACCTTATTGTCAAAAAGTCAAAATAAGTCAGAAATCCACAAATTTCAACGAATTTGTTCAACAATTTTATCTCATGTTTTGTGAAACACCCCTCTGGCTGCAGTCTGGCCATTTACATGATAAGTGCCTGGTGCGCATAGTGCTAAAAATTTCCTTATATGGAAATTTGTCAGCGTGGTGCATACCGCGTGCTGTTGCGCAGAACGCAGGCATAAAGTGATTAAAACAAGCCAGTGTTTTTATCAGCTGTTTTAAACCACCCATGTAATGGGATTTCGACCAATAGGAATGGGGTAAACTGTCTCAGCAATTGAATATACAATTTGTCATGTTTGTGCAACAAGGTTGTATTTCCTAAAATGGCGTGTGACGTCATGTACTTGAAACACAAGTTTTGAATGTCAGCAGGTTATATCTTGGTAAAAATAACCCGGATGTACACACAAAGTTCATGGACGTCGCGATAAGCGAGATACGACCTTGTTACACGGAGCGTATTCGCGCGAGATACGACTTTGTTGCAGAATCAAGTTATGACCTTGTTGCTCTGACGCAACGAATCAATTTATCAAATATTATTTAATTTGTAACCCTCCAGTTATCGAATGCTCCTCCGTACTTTGACCACCCTGGAAGCCCAGCGCAAGCAGGCCATTCAGGATCTAGACAAGCTGTTAGAATCCCGTGACAAGGCTCTGAAGAACCCCGTCAAGTTTGTGCACAAGCTCCAGCACAAGGTACGTTCGGGTTGTGAAGTTGGTTGAAGGCCTTCTTGGTCTCCCCAAAAAATTGTGTTTGGCATTTGATATTTCCAGCAACTAAACGTAGCCTTTTCTTTTAGTAACGTCTTATTCAAAAGTGAATATCTTTTGTGTCGCTAGTGAAGAAGCAAATTTTGAAAAAATATGTACATAAAGTATGTATTTACTTACCTTTTACACATTTTTACTTGGATTTTATAATTTAGATTTTCTTTGTTTTTAAGCTCTGGCAGGAGCTTCTACATGTCGGTCGGTCTGTCTGTCTGTCTGTCTGTGGGTCTGTGTGGCTGTCTGTCTGTCTGTCCCCGAAAATTGACAAAAAAAATTGACCAAAAATAATTGACTAATTGACCAGATGCCATGCTGTGGTCATGAAATGCACTCTTGAGGAAAGTGTTCAAAACGCTGGTTTTGTTTTGATCGATGCACATGCGCGTTTAGTTTACATATGTCTGTCCCTGCAAATCGACCAAAATAAGCCCCATTAGTTTCCCACAAGATACAACTACCAAATTGAAATTTTCACAACAAAATTTTCAATTAGTTATTTACCTTTTAAGTTTTGTAGTTTTCATTGCAGTAGGTTTAGCACTTGTAGCGGAAATTTAATTTGAATTGCTTTTATCCTTGTACAATCGTTTCTTTACCTTGTTATTTAGTTCTTGTAAAGCGCTTTGAGGGTTTTGCATAAGACGCTATATAAATGCTTTTATTATTATCAGTATTATTGTTTTTTCCGGCTATTTTAAAACATTTATCATTCGAATTCACCATTTCTAATATTCAAATTCACCCAGGAATATCGTTTAACTGCACTTCCAATGTTTAATTTCGTCTTTTGTCAGACAACTTCAAATTCGGTTCAAGCAAATTTAAACAAAGAGCACGCATTTTTCGTCCTGGAGTATTCAATTTTGTCTCGTCTACCCCAAACCTTGTTATTCAGAAATCAAATTCGTCTAATTGATTTTTATATAAGAGGAATTCGATCTCTGAACGCTGCCATTCGATAACAGCTTTGACGAATTTATTTGTAATGACGAATATTCTCGACATGGTGACTAAAGAGGGTGACCAAACTTTGAAATTGAATGGTAAATGACTAAATTGGTTTTGTTAAAAGCGTGTGAAATTTGTCTCGGACGATATTGAATGTTAGTGTTGGTGAATTTGAATGAAAAATGTTTTGAAATAGCTGGGAAAACCTATATTATTATTTTTTGTAGTGAAACTCAAAAACAGCTCAGAGAGTTCATCTTTAATTATGAAAAAAGGATATTCGTAACAATTTTGAAAAGAGTAGACAAACAGTCGTGCATTTGAGTGAGTTTGAAATAACCTACGACTTCCTTGTTCCCAGGACACCCTGAACCTTCCCCATAGCCAACGCATTGTCACTTGCCCTGATATTGACTGGGGGCGCTACATCGGCCCCCCGGAGACCAATGAGCTACTGGGATTGGTCAGCCAGCCTAGGAGCATGCGCCCTTCCAAGTCAACAAGCAATACTACACATGCACAAGGTAGGGTATAAGACGGGACTCCCTCTTGAATATTCATGTGATTATCTTGGCACCAAACCTACAGAATTATTGTTATTAATAATATTATTTTATGGAAAGCATGTGAATGAAAATTTGTCATAATTTTTGAATAATGAATATTCAGCGACTCCCTCATGAATATTCATGTAATTATCTTGGCACCAAACCTACAGGATTATTGTTATAAATAATATTATTTTATGAAAAGCATGTGAATGAAAAGTCATCATAATTTTTGAATAATGAATATTCAGCAGCTGGATGTGGCTCTTCTACCTCAACCCAAACCAAGCCGGTACCCGCAGTCTCTGCAGCATCCCAGGCACTGTCGACCTCAGCAGGAGTACCAGTTAGTCTGGATCCGGATATGCCCTCGACAAGCAGCACGCCAGATACTGCACAAAACATTGATATGCTGGAGCCTACGCAAGAGCCAAAAGTATGTCACTATTACTGTAGCAGTTTGAATATTTGTGACTTAATGAATATTAATGACATGAAATTATTTGAATATTCATTGGGTAGGATTGGAGAAGGATAAAAGCCTCCCACATATATAGGGAATATACAACATTTGCAAGCATCAAAAAACAAAACTACCAAATATTATGAAATACCTTACTGGACTGTTAGTGAATTACAGTCTCAAGTATCCTGTAAAAATCATGGCACCTGGTGTGCTGACATTTCCAAGAAAAGTGGTATTTATGTATCGATTTCCGTGAAAAAAAATGACTTTTAAAAAAAAATCTCCTCCAATTTTACCAAATTTAGTCCACATTTAAAAAGAAATGGGTTTTTTTTGTGGCATTTTGTTTGCAATCGATTACACACCTATGAAAGGGTAAAAGCCAGCTGGACTGGTTCCCTGACCTTACAATTCCCAGACATCCATAAATTGCTGCATTTCAACTTAAGTGGAGTCAGGGAACCAGACTACAGTAACATGATTGTTTTTTGGTGGTTTTTCCAGCATCTGCAAACACAAAACTTCAAAAAAGGCAGTGAAACAATATTTGCTATAAACTACTAACCCCCAAATCTATCCATTTCTGAAAATTACAGCAAAAGCAAATGTTGTATATTTCCTTTAATCAGCTGTGATCAAGAACATGAATATTAATGAGTAATATTAATGATAATGAATTTATTTGAATATTCAACAGCTGGAAACTGTCCGTGGTAGAGTCGCCGAAGCAAACAAGCCTCCCACTTTTAATCAGCTGTGGACAAGAGACGAACAAGTAAACTTTGAACTTTGACCTTAAAAAAGTTGATTAATTGAAAACATGTATCTGATCCTAATTGCAATTTCTTAAAGTCAGATTTTATTGAGCTTATCCAGTTTGCGCCAGAATTATTTTGACGAGAACGGAACAAGGTGCAGGATTACTTTTCACCCGACCTCAAGCCAGGTGGGTTGAAGCCATTACCCTCGGGCAGCACACTCATATTTCCAGCCTCGCTCGCTGCGAACGGGTCGCTGACAGATATTTCCGGCCTCGCTCTTTGCGTGTTTATACGCCATCCGTTCCAAATACCGTAAAACCTTTGCGGGTATGCACGTCATTCAGCATGAACTGGTTAAAAAACAAAACTGCAAGCTTCAAAGATTTCTGCTGTATGTTCATTCAAGGTAGAGTAGATCATTTGTCATTGGTGCACTTTTTTGTTTGAAGCAACTAAAGTGCTAAAAATTTGAAGAAGGGTGGCATGGGTGGCTTGTGCGTAAAGCGCTCGCCTCTCACCAAGGTGACCACGGTTCGAATCCTGGCCGTGGATCGCATGTGAGTAGAGTTGAGCGTTGGTTCTCTCCTGTGCCACGAGGGTTTTTCTCCGGGCCCTCCGGTTTTCCTCCCTCCGGAAAAATCAAACACTTTCGATCTCCGGTTGTGCTCCGTGGTCATATATGGGTCGATGTGGCCGGCAGCCTTTACGTGCCAGCGGCCCGACCACATTGTAGCCGCGTCCTTCGCAATTCAGCATACCAGCTGCGAGTGAGGATGATTAGCCTCCCAAATTATTATTATAATTATTATTAACTACTAACCTGATGAAGTGTTAGCTCTGTCAATCTGTATATTCTGAGAAAACAATATTCTAGGATTTCAGCTTCAGTTCAACTTGCCAAGTCATATTTTGAGTTGCGCCCGAAATACCCTTCTTGAACATGTTCTTGTTCAGCCGATTGCAGCTACCTGATGTCAAGCACTGAGCCGAAAAATACTAGCAACGGGGTGTGTGCGTCATGTCAATGCTTGCGCGCATCCATTCCCAATTTGTCCAATTACAAACCAACTATTAACGGAAATTTCCAAAAGTGTGTCACTTGACTCATCTTTGGAAATGACCTTCGTTTATTGTTTTCTTCAAAATAACAGCATGTCAAAAGGAAAAATTTCACAGGGATTTTAGTACCATTACTGTCTTTAAACCAAGTAAGCTTTTTAGCAATAATTTTATAGTCAGTTACTTTTTGGGTAGCTGCAAATGATTTGCCCTCCCTTTAAGGTATTTTTTTCCAATAATCTGCTTCGGGAAATTGTCGAAAAAGACAAAAAGGTGTTTATTGAAGTAGAAATGGGGAAAGTGGAAGAACTTAAAAAGACAAATTTGAAGTTCCTAACTTTCCCAGTTTCAGTTCTTTCCAAATCTTTAAAAAAAAAATTTCAACCAATTCACGCTCTGTATTTGTTGAATACTTGTAGCGGAGATTGGAGGAATCTCTCGTCAAGTTTCCGACGGAGGAAGTGGAGGCCAGACGATGGGAGAAGATCGCCAAGGCACTGGGCAACCGCACATCCCAGCAGGTACAAACAAACTCTGCTTTCTTCTCTTAAAATTTCTTCAACAGAACGTCATTTCTTTTACTAGCCTGGCGTACAATTTAAGTACAATACAATGTTGCTTGTGGACAAGGGTAATTGTTGAAGTTGTTGGTAGATAAATAAAGAAAACTATTAATAGTTCTGTGGATAATAGCATTTGCGGAAGGTTTTGCTAGCAAAATCCTTGACAAACTGCCTACCGTAATCTAATATCAAGAAACAACAAGTAACTGCAAAAACTATTATATTACAGTGGAATGTTGCTATAACAAACATCGTGGGATCCACAGAAATTGTTCGTAATAGCGATCGTTCAGTATAGCGATTTTAAGCTGCCGGTGCTCCGGTACTCGCTTTTCAATAAATGGCGCGCTTCAGAACTTCACCCTGCATGCCCTGGTAGTTACTGAAAGACGACTTTGAACACGCGCTGACTTTTGAAGGATGTCATTACACAGTATATGAGCTTACTACCTACAGCAATAAGTGGATTTCCCCTTTCATTTCTCGGGGGAAAATAATGTTCGGTACGTTTTGCACACAAAAATCGGGATCCTAGGATGATGTTCGGCATAGCCGAACGTTTGCTATAGCGACGTTCCACTTTACTTGTCTGTGTGTATGAATGAAAATGTGCAGCGCGGTGGTCCAATGGTTACGGTGTTCGACTCATGTAGCATGGTACATAGGTTCAAGCCCTGATGCAGAACATGGTGCTTGTGTTCTTGGGCAAGACACTTTACTACAATTGCCTCTCTCCACCCAGGAGTATAAATGAATACATGTGAGGGTAGAGGCCAGAATGCGCTGATCTCGAGCTGCGGCAAAAACTGGTCTCATGGCCTGATGAACAGGGGTAATAATTGTGAAGCGCTTTGAGACCTTTTGTATAAAGCACTTTATAAGCACCACTTTATTATTATTATTACTATAAAATGTTCAAATTGTTGTCTGTTTGTTGACCAGGTTGCGAGCAGAGTGCAGAAGTATTTCATCAAGCTCATGAAGGCCGGCATGCCAGTACCGGGCCGACTTCCAAACCTCGCGACATATCAGAACTGCAAAAAGGTTGGTTTATCACTTTCATCCCTTGAATTTATTTTTTATTATTTGAAGTTAAAGGGAATATACAATATTTGCAAACATCAAAAAGAAAAATATTATGAAAAACCTTACTTGACTGAAGTGAATAATAGTCTCATGCAGCCTGTGAAATCATGACACCTGGTGTGATTTCATTTTTCAAGGAAAGTGGACTTTCTGTATCAATTTCCCATTGAAAGAAAGAGGACTTGAAAAAAAATAGTTCTCCCCAATTTACCAAATTTAGTCCACATTTGTTGCAATTTGTTACAAGGCAGCTGGACTGGTTCCCTGACTTGGCAATTCCTCGACATCTATAACTTGCTCGACCTGACGATTCCCTGACAGAATATTTGTTTACGAGTGAACAAAGATGGGTTTAGGCCCCCAAAAAGTCTCCGGCTTCTGGTCTGCACGCGTATCGCCGTAGCCATGCGCATCCGCAAAATTATAAAAAAAAAATTTCAGTGTAAGATGATGTCCCAAACTCACTGGTTCGTTTGGAAACCTGCTGCTGCACAATTTTAACGTGTTTTTAGATGGGGTTACAATCGAGTATAAGCTTTATGTGGCCTTTCTGGGCTCCCATATATTTGGCACTATAAATTTAGTCGGGCACCATTTGCAGACGGTATTGTAATTTTATAATTATGCATCTGGAAGCCTGACTTAGGGAGCGATGGTCATGCATCTGAAATCTGTAAACGCTTTTTAATCAGCGCAATATTAAAGGGAGCAGACTAATGACTAACCTGGCAGCACATGCACAATGTCGCGTTGCTGTATTGTTTGACACTACTGTTCTCTCTGATTTTTCCTTGGCAATTCAAATTTCTTGAACAATGTTTGTGTCGGTCCAGGATATTTTTGAAGTTTCAAGGGGATAGAAGCATCATCTGCAATATCAGCTGAAATTTGAAGAAAAAAAAATATGGGAAAAAAACACAGCGTCGCCGCACCACTTTTGGGGCAAGCTCCATACCAGAAACAGGAACCTTTTGTTTAGGGCTTATTATTAAACAATGCTTGCATTCTTCTTATAATTAATCGCACATACACTTTTGGGTTTTTTTATTTACTAACGCAGTATTTGTTTTACATAATTGAATGTTTAGACTGGGAAGAAGATTCACCCCTTCACTAAGCCCCTGTATCAAGCCTCCACGTTCCTTCAGTCCATCCAGCCCCCGGTCTACATGGCTGATGATGACCCTTACAGCTACGCAGATGGCCAAGATGATGACGACGATGATGATGAATTGGTCTCGGTGAGCAGTCATTTCTTAAGCCCGGTTCATACTCCCTGCGAATGCGAATGCGAAGCAATTTGACGTCATTAAATTTCACTGCAAATTCGCTGGAGTTGAAATATGTTCAACGTTTACAAATTCGCAGTGCCAATACTTGCCCGACTTTACAACTTCGCATTGCTTTCGCGACGAGTATTAACTAGGCTATATAACACCTCACCCTGAGATGACTTATATCAATCACAAGTTAGTTACAAGTAACGGCGAACAATCCCAAAGAAATTCTTTTGCCACTGAATATTTGAAAGAGCTTGACTTGTGATTCTTGTGATGACTTGTGATGGCTTGTGATGGCTTGTGATGACTTTTGATTGTTTGTGATACCAGCAAGGACTTGTGAGGACTTTTGATTTTGATTGCTTGTGATACTAGTGATGACTTGTGATGACTTGTGATGACTTGTGATGACTTATGATATTTGTGATTGACTTGTTATGACTTGTGATAATTTGTGATGTTTGTGATGGCTTATGATGCTTGTGATGACATGTATGGACTTGCGATGACTTGTGATGACTCCTTTACAACTCTTCTGATTGACGGCTGTTAATTTTAATTTTAATTTTTGTGTGTGTCAATTTGACTAATTTTGTAATAATTTCCTTTGTTTCCGCAGGATGACGAGTCCGTGCCAACAGACGTAAGGGACACCCCGGAGTATCAAGAATTGATCCAGCTGAAGCTGATGAAGCGAAGGAAAGTCCGACAACAGGTCAGTAGAATGTCTGGGATTGTCTGCGATTGTCTGGAATTTCTATGATTTAAACCAACATCCATGTAAAGAGTGCGGCTCAGATAAAGAAAATCTGGTGTTGTAGCTGAGTGATGGATCACAAGAACATCACAAGCCCGGTCACAAGCAAATCACAGATTGAGATGGACTTGTGATGGACTTGTGATGGACTTGTGATGGACTTATGACCGACTTGTGGTGGACTTGTGATGGTCTTGTGGTGGACTTGTGATGGACTTGTGATGGACTTGTGATGGACTTGAGATGGACTTGTGATGGACTTGTGATGGACTTGTGATGGACTTGTGACAAACTTGTGATGGACTTGTGATGGGCTTGTGATGGACTTGTGATGGGCTTGTGATGGACTTGTGATGGACTTGCGATGGACTTGTGGTGGACTTGTGATGGACTTGTGATGGACTTGTGATGGACTTGTGATGGACTTGTGATGGACTTGTGGTGGACTTGTGGTGGACTTGTGGTGGACTTGTGGTGGACTTGTGATGGACATGTGATGGACCTGTGATGGACCTGTGATGGACCTGTGATGGACTTGTGATGGACTTGTGATGGGCTTGTGGTGGACTTGTGATGGACTTGTGGTGGACTTGTGGTGGACTTGTGGTGGACTTGTGATGGACATGTGATGGACCTGTGATGGACCTGTGATGGACCTGTGATGGACCTGTGATGGACTTGTGGTGGACTTGTGATGGACTTGTGATGGACTTGTGACAGACTTGTGATGGACTTGTGGTGGCTTATGATCCATCACAATACCTGAACTGAAAGTTGCAGATTAGTGTTGGTTGTCAACTGGTGTCGTCCAAATATAAAGATTGCAGAAATGTAATTTTGGAATAATTGCAACATGTAAACTTCCATCAAAAAGCTGTCAATAACTTGTTTTATCCTGTTTTAGGGTCATACTGGTTTTCGCTGTGACGGCTGTGACATGGAGCCCATCATTGGTGTGCGCTGGCACTGCACGGAGTGCCCTGAGCCTGTCTCTACAGATCTCTGCCAAAACTGTGTCAACCGGTAAGAAACACCCCTCTCTCCCCCCCCCCCACCCCCCCCCCACCCCTCTCCCCCGCCCCTCCTCCAGTGTAAAAGGAACATTTTGGCAAAATTTTAAATCAAATTTTGACTTTTTCTCTGGCATTGTCGGTTTAGCAGGATTTGTTCCTCCAATGATAGGTTTTTGTGTTTTGTGAGTTACGCAAATGCAACCCAACCCTCCTGCTGTCTGAACAGTCACAGACAGTCAGAAAATCAATCCTCTTCCCCTGCCATGCCTTTTACACAGGCTAGTCACCAACAGTCAGGTCATGTTTCTTGTAGGCACTGTGACTAGTCAAGTTTCGTCAGCAGACAAAAAGTAGGTAACTGGTAGGCACAGCTTGCTTATCAATCACCTACAGTCAAAGCATGGCTGTATCAAGTTACATAAACAGCCAAAGTCATTCAATCTGCTTTATGCAGGCTGGGAGCTTTTAAGTTTGCGGACCAGTAAATAAACTGCCATAGACCCCAGTGATAAAAATGCCAACTTCTGAAATTCAGGAAAAATACTCACAACTCTCAGAGGTGTTTGAGACACATGCCAAATTGTAGCTTATTTCATCACCTTTCATTTTCTGTTTAATTATTTGGGGTTGACAAATGACCTTTGGGAGAAAATGATCACCCCTAAAAGTAGTCCTGTAGCCCATCGCCAATTTGAAACATGATGCCTCGCTCCATTGCAAAATAGAGCCATTTTAGGGACCAATTTCATCCGAATTTCACAGATATACGAGCTCCAAGTCCTGTGCATGTCTTCCATCCTTCTTTCTCACAAACCACCAAGTTCATGGCACATAAAATGTTCTAATACCAAAATAAATTGAGAGCATGCAATTTGGATTTGGCCAACGAAGGCAATTTCAGGTTGATTTACTTGCCTGCAACCTGAACTGACGAAATCAGTCATGGAATGGCTTTGTCGGATTTGTCACCAATCGAGGTGATTTATAAAATTTGAGTTTTCAATCATTGCCACCCCACAGCAACTTTAGCTCCAAGCATCATTCCAGCAGCCACCGGATGGAACCAGTTCACACCGGTTACAGCCAGAGCTATGTGGATGGGGACTACACCAGCTTTGAGCCCAGCTCTGGTGACTACAACTACCTAGACCCAAACTACAATCCAGTGCACGCCGCGACCTGACCAAACGGGGGCAGTATTACCATAATCACTGTAAAACTGTAATTTGTTGGGCTGTTATTTTTGTTATTTACTGGGGAATGTATATTTATCAATTGCAGGACTTGCTGAATTTTTTGCTAGACACATTTTGGGTTTACAATGAATGGATGAATGAAACATGAATTAAGAAACATGCATATATATGCATTAACAATTTGCATAAATGAATAAAAGATCTGCATATATTCGGGATCCAGAACAAGACCAGCAGCCGATTTCACGAAACTTTACGCAATGGCGCAACTCTGCTTGCGCCACAATTTATTGCATAAGCTGCGACTCGTTTCATGAAAGTCTTGAAGTGCATAAGTCTGTGACTTGCAGAATAAATGAATGTGTAATTTGCGCAATAAATTATGGCGTAACTTGCGCAATCATTTTATGTGGCGTAAGTACAAATTCTATAATACAAGTGACAGAATGTTTAGAGTTGACTTAATACGATTCCAAAGAATGTTGGACATTTTCAAAATGGTAGGCCGAGGTGATTTGACGATTGTTTCGTGAACAACTTCATACGCAAACAGCTGTCGGAAATGCTGTTATTATCCTCGTCCAAGATGTTTAGCTTATTTAAAAACATTACACAGCTACGCCAAGTTTCGTGAAATCGATCGTAAGTTTATTGCTTACGCTGCTTAGACTTTACACTGTACTTCAGGATTCAGCTAGATAGTCTAGCGCCCTCTATTGAATTGTCTGCAAGTGACTATCCATTGTCTGAAGTGTTTCAATTTTATGTATTACTCCTAGGCTAATATTTGTTATGTGTTGTGCGGAAAAAACCCAGAGCAACTTGATTGAATAATTTAGCAATTTTGTTAACTGCTGTTTTTCTTTTCAAAAGAATTAAACATCAACATGAAATTACTCATGTATTTTAGCTTAGCCGAATCCCCATTAAAACAGAATGCTTGTATAGACCTTTTCTGATTGTACCAAAATTGTTTGTTGCAGTTATCCTTTTGACTGCATATTTGTCTAAATATCGAGTTTTTATGAATTCTACAGTACTTTAGGCATCTTTCCTGTATGTTTCCAGACATTGAATTTGTTGGTCAAAATTGAAAAAAAAGGAAGGGGTTAGCCTTACATTTTAAATTAAATTTGGCAAGAAACTGACTTTTCTTAAAATAATGCAGAAATTCCTTTGAAGGTAAGAGGAGCATCAATCAGTTTTCAAACATCCATTATTTTGAAGATTCGGGGAAAAAACATGGAACTTAATTTTTTTTGGGGGGGGGGGAGAAAAAAATAACATTTTTGACTGATTTCACCCCAAATTTGTGTCGAAAGTTTCTTTAGAGAAGCCCATCTGTCTGTAAATCGAATTGACATATGTTCTAGGGTCCGTTGTGCATCTTTCCAGCAAGTTTGACGCAATTTGATTTTTAGCCATAATTTAAGAAAATCCAAGGGGTTAACCTTACATTTTTAATGAAATTTGGCCAAAAATTACTTTTCTCCGTACGATGCAAAAATTCAGTTGGAGGCAAGAGGAGCATTAATCAACAGTCAAGCACCCTATATTTGGCAGATTGGGCAAAAATTGTGAATTTTCTTGTAGAAACTATACTTTTGAGTGATTCACCCCAAATTTCCTGTAGGCATATCCTGCAAGTTTGAAGTAATTTCGTTTTGGGCCAAAATTGAAACAATTTCCTATAGAACATATACAACACCACACTCGATTTCCAGACAATAACTCAAGAAATACGTGTTGCATTAAATTTGTTTTTCAGTAAAAATAACATAAATGAAGCAATGAAGTGTGTTGAGCTCTTAGAATATAAGACATAATTTTATGTCAAATTTCCTACAACAAAAAAGCACACTAGTGGTTTCAAGACAATAATTAAAAAATACTATTTGCATTAAATTGCTAATTCGTATATTAATCAAACGTGATATATAACATAAATCTCTTCAACATTGAGAGAAAGTTGAAATCTTTTTGCAATAAAAAAAAATATATAAACAGGACCATGTAATTATACTCAGAAAAACCTTCCTTACCAAAGTAAACTTAAATTTTATTTCAATAGAGGGCGCGCTATACAATAACACTAGTACCGCTAGGGGCGACAATTATTGGTCGCCCCCAGCGGAGGCTACCGCTGGAGGCGACCAATAATTGTCGCCCCTAGCGGTATATCATACCGCTGGGGGAGACCAACACAGTCGCCCCTAGAGGTACGTACCGCTGGAGGCGACCAATAATTGTCGCCCGTAGCGGTATATCATACCGCTGGAGGCGACCAGTAATTGTCGCCCCTAGAGGTACGCAATGTTGGGGGCGCTCAATAATTGTCGCCCCTAGCGGTAGGCGCTGGAGGCGACCAATAATTGTCGCCCCTAGCGGTAAATATACCGCGTGGGGCGACCAACACAGTCGCCCCTAGAGGTACGTACCGCTGGAGGCGACCAATAATTGTCGCCCGTAGCGGTATATCATACCGCTGGAGGCGACCAACACAGTCGCCCCTAGAGGGTACGTACCGCTGGAGGCGACCAATAATTGTCGCCCCTAGCGGTATATCATACCGATGGGGGCGACCAACACAGTCGCCCCTAGAGGTACGTACCGCTGGAGGCGACCAATAATTGTCGCCCGTAGCGGTATATCATACCGCTGGAGGCGACCAGTAATTGTCGCCCGTAGCGGTATATCATACCGCTGGAGGCGACCAGTAATTGTCGCCCCTAGAGGTACGCAACGTTGGGGGCGCTCAATAATTGTCGCCCCTAGCGGTAGGCGCTGGAGGCGACCAATAATTGTCGCCCCTAGCAGTATATCATACCGCTTGAGGCGACCAGTAATTGTCGCCCCTAGAGGTACGCAACGTTGGGGGCGCTCAATAATTGTCGCCCCTAGCGGTAGGCGCTGGAGGCGACCAATAATTGTCGCCCCTAGCGGTATATCGTACCGCTGGAGGCGACCAGTAATTGTCGCCCCTAGAGGTACGCAACGTTGGGGGCGCTCAACAACGGTCGCCCGTAGCGGTATACGGCTGGAGGCGACCAATAATTGTCGCCCCTAGAGGTACGCACCGCTGGGGGCGACCAATAATTGTCGCCCATAGCGGTACGCACCGCTGGAGGCGACCAATAATTGCCGCCCGTAGCGGTATATATACCGCTGGAGGCGACCAGTAATTGTCGCCCCTATAGGTTCGCAACGTTGGGGGCGCTCAATAATTGTCGCCCCTAGCGGTACGCGCGTTTCTGAATACCGCTGCGGGCGACCGTTGTTGAGCGCCCCCAACGGTACATACCGCTACGGGCGACCGTTATTGTCGCCCCTAGAGGTACATCAATCATTCCTTGCTCTATGCATAAATGAATAACACAAAAATAAACTGGTCCAAAATTGTCATTTTCAATCAATTTTGTTATTTATACTGAAAAGCTCTTGTGAAACCAATCAACAATCAAAAGACTTGATATAAATGTATTATTACCAAACAACCAGACTAAATTTCAACTCCATACATCAATTTATTCTGAAGTTATTTTTCCCATAAAAAAATACCTTTGCTCGCATTGTATTTTTCACGGTGAACGCACTGGATTGTTCGAGCTATAATATGTTTATTGTTTGAGAATTTCTCTCAACAATCAACAGACTCGTGTTATATATCATAACCAAACAACCAAAAAAACAGACTAAATTTCAACTCAATACATCATCATTTTTTGAAGTTATAGTTCGGAAAACCAAAATAAACTTTTGTTCAGACTTTTTTTGCGGTGAACACACTGGACTTATGACAATATAAGAAGTATCCTGGTGTTCTTAAATTAAATTTAATATTCTTTCACGGTTCCTGACACTTTTCGAGTTTCTTTTGTCCAATTAGTATCATGGCTAAATATTGGACGTAATTTCATTTCACTGCAATGTATTTCTCTCGAGGTTTCGCCGTTAACAATAAGTTCGTTTACATCGCGAATGGACAGGCGCGCGGTGAGCAGTGGTCCAAACAGATTATTTGCCTGACAAGGCTTTTGCGCAGAAACGACATATATAGTCCTTTGTGGACACGATCACTCAAAAATTAAATGATGTATTGAATTGAATTCTGGCCAGATGATTTGTCATAAAAATTAGACAAACAAGACAGAGTAGTGAGACAAAATATTGTTTTTCTCTCCACCAGTAGTGTTTTGTGTCAACACGGAGGATAACTTGGCGATAGGCTGCAGTCACGGTCCAAACAAAAAATTTAGCCTCACTTTTGCACAGAAACGAGTCCAGGTAGACACGCTATCTCAAAAAGTAAGTAATGCATCGAATTGAATTGTGGCCAGATAATTGGTCATGAAAAATAGGCAAACAAGACAGAATATTGAGACAAAATATTGTTTTTCTCTCCACCAGTAGTGTTTTGTGTCAACACGGAGAATAACTTCGACTTGCGATATCTGTAGTCACAGTCCAAACAGAATACTTGCCTTACTTTTTGCACAGAAACGACATAGTGATCGTGGACACGCTCACTCCAAAAAAAAATGCCATTGAATTGAGTAGTCAATTTTCTTGGGAAAAAAAGTCTTTTTGAGGGATTTTACTGAAATTTGTCGACATTATTTTTTTCAGCAGCATATATTTGCTGAAATCGACTTGGATTGTGTTCTAGGGTCCCTTACGCTTCTTTTCTGTGAGTTTAAAGCAATTTCAATATGTGGCCAAAATTGAAAAAGAGATTGCAAGGGGTTAGCCTTACATTTTTAATATTTGACCAAAAATCAACTTTTCTCCACACAATGCAGAAATGCCTTTGAAGGTAAGAGGAGCATCAAGCAATAGTCAAACACCCTTCTTTTCTGGGGGTGATTAAAGCAATTTCGTGTTTTTGCCAAAATTGAACAAAATGCAAGATTTTTTTGCAAGTTCAAAGCAATTTCATATTTAATCACCTCAGGCAGTTTCAAGAAATAAAATATGCAAATTGCAGGTATGAATATTCATTACTGAGACTAATGACTAATAAACAGGTCAAAGGTCACGGACTGCTGTTAAATATGTTACACAAGTATTTATTTGCTTACTATCAAGTTATGGCAAGTTATCATCGTTTAAAGTACAAATCTTAGTACAGATTCAACGATTGGAAAACAAAATTCATTTCTGATTTTACTTGTTTCTAGTTTCACCTAAACATGTATTTATAACCACAGCATGAAAGAAATTGTTCGCATTATTTTCGCATAATTTTTTAAGTGTTTTTTAAATTGTCACAAGATGCTAGTTAACCTGCAGCTTTGGTTTAGATCAATCACATATCAGTATGCAAATCATATGCAAATCATCAACCATGTCACACAATGAGTTCTTGCAAAACAATCACTGTATTTATAGTAAGACGCCTGCAATAGCCATTTAGCTCCACCCCTTGGTGCTTTGACCAATCACAAGTGTCTGATAATGTCCATTGTGTACGCACAAATGTCGTTGAAGCTTGCATGTCTATATGTGTGTATGATGCACACCGCTGGAACATGCAAACAGTCATGTTTCTCTATACCCCAGAGGACAATGTTTTGTGTTTCCCTTTGTTCATTATAGCACATAACCGTAATATAGCACATAACCGTAAGGCCAAAACATGTCAGTCTCTGGTCAGCGCGTGCGTTGATTTTAATCATGCGCGTCAATCTTTTTTTTTCCAAAATGTTCCACGGTAGCTCCAACAGCGCCCTCTATTGCTGCACCTCCTCAATTTTTTTTAAACAAAGAGCACCAAGGAATGGGGAATTGCACCGAGGACAAATTATCAAGAGCACCAAGGCAAATTATGGAGGACACCAATGTACACGAGGACACCAAAAAAGCAAAATAGTACCCCACCTTTGTCTGTACAATCCAAGCTTGAAGAAAAAAAAAGGGGGGGGGGGAAGCAGCATCCCCACGTCAATTCTGGAAGTTTGGTCTGACCAGAGACCGAATATTTTTGTTTTTTGCCTAATAAAGCACATAACTGTACTATAGCACATAACAGTACATAATCGAGGACCGTTTTCAACAAAAGACGCAACACCTAAAGACACAAACGATCTGTTGTTCACCATTTGTGTGTCGGTCTTCAGGGAGTAGACTATAGCACCAAAGATATCAAAAGAATAAAGTAGCTTTCTTCTGATATCTATGTGTAGCATTGGAGAGATGCACTGTGCAGTGGGCGGAGCCTAACAGTCTATACAATTGCACACATACACACCTGCAAGTGTCACTGTGCAGTGGGCGGAGCATAACAGTCTATACAATTGCACACATACACACATGCAAATTTTGTAACGATTTCTTAAATGTATACATCCATTATAATGTAAATTTGGACGAGTTACACATAAAGGGATCACTTTTTTCAAGTTTGAATTTTCAGCAAAGACAACAAATAGTTTTTGTTGAATTCAAAATGTCAGAAATAAAAGTATGAGTTTGTAACTTTTTTCAGCCAAACGGTTTGGTATTAAAAGTAGAAAGGAATGAATTGTTTTCAATTTGAACAATTCACAATAAAATACGTTACCAAGAGTTTGCCATGGAGAGTCCATTTTTCAAGTTTATGGTCGACAAACATGGCCCATTTGAATAAGTGTCTGTAGACAACTTGAGCTAATTTGTTATAGATTGGGGCATAGCGTTCTGCCGCCTTACAAAAAAACACCATATTGTAATAAAGAAAAGAAAAAGGGCAAACATATACTCGAATCATACACCCAACTGACCGAAAAAAACTAACAATTTCAAGTGTCCTGCGCTGCAAATTTGTCGACCATCTCCCAAAATACGCTGGGAAAAAAATGAATGCTACGTGGCAAACTCTTGGTGGCGCAATGCATTGTGATATGCCTGAATTGAGGAAATATTAACATTTGATGTAAAACTTATTAACATCACAAAAAAACAGGGACTAAAATAGAAAATTTACACCGAATTGTTTTTGAGATTTCACAGGAGTGCGGTCGTGAGTCGTATTCTTTGTAGTGCCTCCTCAGGCATGCAGAAGACGGGGTTGACCGGTTTGATCCGGTCCGAGAATGAGCCGAGAAGCGACAGACCAGCGATGCCGAAGAGAGTGTGGAAAGGATCCACCTAGGGACAAAAATTCATAAAAAGAAGTCTTTTTTTGGTTTTGCGCGGAAATTTATAAGTATATATAATCAAATGCTAGGGCTGAGGCCATTCATACAATTGAATATTCAAATATTCTACTTTCATTTGATCAAATATTTGAATACCCGTTTACACCGGAAGGCCACTTTCCAGTCATCTGATTTCCAGTTAAGAATATAATCATGAAGATTTTACCATAATTTACTTCAACACAGGCCAAGTTCGCGCAAGGACTACAGTTGACCATTGGTCGACTAACGTTTGCCCGAACTCTGTCTAGTCGACGGTGGTTGACTACGCTAGTCGACTATTTGGAACCAGCCTGCTGGGGTTGGTTGCTTCGCTGGTAACCAATAGCTGCGCCATTCATAACGCTAGCAGAGAGCCAGGATCCAGAAGTTTTGCGATGACATTTTGACCAGCATTTGACTAGAGACGTTCGCACGTTGCTATCAGTGCGCAGGCGTAAGGTATGTCACAAATCAACCACTAGTCGACTGATGGTCCTTGCCCGAACTTGGCCATAGTTTTAAAAACTTTCTACAATAATGAATTTTATTCATCAAAAATCTATTTACATATTTTTGGATGGATTCTACATTTCATAGTTGGGCATATACATCAGCTGCCTATAAGTGTCTGGCTACGCCTTGATATAAACTTCCAGAATACAAATTTATTATAACAGTTGTTACTTTGTTTCCTTTTTTTCTTTCTTTGCAGTTTCACTTTCGAATATTTGAATCGAAAAGTAAGTATTTGAATATTTGATCATCTATCGAATATCCCAATATTCAAATTACTTTCGGCACAGCCCTATCAAACGTTATTTGTTGTTTGCACTTTGGCTATCTTTGTGATTTTGTTTGCGCCGATGTGCGAGGCCTTGTGGCGAAATGAGACAGAGCTGGTCAGAGGTCGAAATGAGGGTTTGAGGGTGTAAAGAAAGAGAATTAAATTCCCTTTACAGTACTCTTTGTCTGACATTCAGATGACAAATTATGGCTGTTTTTGACAAGTTTATGACAAGGTTGTTTAGGAAAAGTTTGCACTTGTAAAATACAGGGCGAGTAAAAAAAAAAGGAAACCTAAATGGCAGGTCGATTTTTATATGAAGTTCTGCATGTAGCACTTCCAAAATCTAGGATAAGAAAGCTGAATAAGAAAGCTGAATAACCTTTCGTTTAGTACAAGAACCATTGAGATCACTCATGTTCTTTTCAAGTTTAATTTATTTCAGCAAAATATTGCAGTCAGGCAAGATGCATTGTTCGGTCACCCCCAACTGTACTTTCTTTGCCGGTGAGAGGGTACATGGTGTTTTGAACTCTACCCTTTTAAAGTTCTGTCCTCGAATTACGAAAAAAGGTAAGTGTTCTTTCAGCAAAACGAAAACAAAATTCACATAGGGATGTACGTGAATTGTTTTTGTCTTGCTGATAGAACACTGACCTTTTTTTGGATTTGGTCTAAGTCCAACTTACCATGTCGCCGGGCCTGTCGGCAAAACCTCCCGTCTCGTCATCCTGACACGCCAAGATGAACGTCTCCAGTTTCTTCTTGTCGATCCAATGCAGCCTGTCGATGATCTTGAGGGAGGCGAGCACCCACCAGGAGTAACAGACGTCCGGCAGTTTCTCTGGCCTCCCTAGGGTGGGGAAGAGAGTGACAGGGTAGGGGAGAGAGCGACATTCATCATCATAAACAAATAAGTGTGTTTATAGTACCACCCCTTTCAAACATAAAGAGACAAATGGCCTTAAAGGGAAGATACAACGTTTGCAAACATCAGAAAACGAAATGATCGAATTATCACAAAATACCTCACTGGATTGTTAGGGAATGACAGTCTAAAGCATCCTGTAAAATCGTAGCTCCAGGTGTGCTGACATTTTCAACAAAAATTGTATTTTTCCAACACTGTTTGGCTGACCAGCGTTGGAGAAAACTGGCTTTTTTTCCCCCAAGACTGCTCCTAATTTTTCAAATTTAGTTATTCCGCATTTTCTTATTTTTTTTTATATTCTAATTTTTGCATATTTGTAATCCTGAACATGTCTAAAATATGCTATAAAAGTTTGAGACTGTTATTTGAACTCTAAATATAGTATTTTTGATGATTTGTTAAGGTATATCAGTTAAAAAAACGTCTGTTTTGTGACGTTTGTGGCCATTTTCTCTGTTTTCTACTTTTCGACACAGTGAACTTCAAAATAGCATAACATTGCCCAGGAATGACCGGTTTCAAAAATTTAACCTTCTCTTAAAAGGAAAATGTACATATTTGAACAATATGCAAAAACCTCATTTTTGACCTTTTATGCCCAGAAAAGTTTGATTTTGACAGAACAGGTCACATATTGATATATTGACGGTGCTTATTGAACATACCATTGAGTCCGCCGGAGGGAAGTTGTCGTTCACAGAGCCACCAGCCCAGCTGGTCAGCGTTGACGTGGTGTAGACTGTCAGTAATTGCTAGCATCCCGACGCAACAGTACACCTACGGACAAATTGGAAGGAAGACTTAAACAGTGAAATATCCCTGCTTATTGTAGCAAGCGTTTCCATTCCTACAGTTAGCGTATTTCACAGGTAAGGGAGCTTCTGAGCATGTAAACTTTCCGTAACTAAAGGATTCTGTGCTTACAGGGTTACTGCAGAATTTCTTTTGCTGGCGCGGTTAGCACAGAATTGTAATCGTAAAGCGCCCTCAGGTCAACCTGCGATATGCTTATGCTTCCTCGGCATCAAGCACGAAAGTCAAACTCAAGTGACATCTCGACACAGACTAATCACAACCATGCTCATGTCACCCACGACAGTTTCAACATTCTTGTAGTAAAGCTAGCAATAATGAAGAAAGTTTGCATGGACAGGGTTGATAGGGAATTACTAAGACGTTTCAACAATGACATCCCAAAACAAGTCCACTGTATTCAAGAAAGTGAACTCTAGAAGTGAAAGCTGAAGAACAAAATGTTTTATGTATTCTTTTAATTTCTGACAACTGCTAAAAGTATACATATGAGGGAGTTGTGGGGGTATTAAATTGACTTGTGATTTTTCTTGTGACAGTTTGCGTAATGTACTTGTGATCGATCACAGATGACTCGACAAAAACACTGGCTCTGGGTTGAAGTCGACCAATCAACTAAGCCACACCCCAAGATGTTTCTGACCGATCACGGCCGTGATTAACGTCCGGCATGCCTGCACAGAAGTCTGACATGCGTGCACGTGTATAATGCAGGCAGCTGGAATAGGCAGTGTTGCATGGGAGGGGCGCATGCATTACTGCCCATGTGTGCAGTGGGCGGGGCCAAGTAGGCGGGGCCTAGTGGGTGCATCTAGTGGGCAGGTCCAGTGGGAAGTACCTATTGGGCGGGGCCTGTTGGGCCTAGTGGGCAGGGCCTATTGGGTGGGGCCTGTTGAGCCTAGTGGGCGGGGTCTAGTGGGTGGGGCCTAGTGGGCGGGGCCTAGTGGGCGGGGCCTGTTGAGCCTAGTGGGTGGTGCCTAGTGGGCGGGGCTTAACGGATCAGGCAACTGGACTAGCAAGTCAGTTCCCTGATGATTCACCTGTCCTGAGTGTGATTCGGAGCCGGGCCTACATCCAAAGCCACCGTCAAAGTTCATGCATGATAGGACATACTCCACTGCCTTCTGTACATTAATAGCATCCAGTCTGCCCTGCATAAAGAAGGGAAGAAGTAGTAAAAGAAAAAACCAACTAGAGTTTGTATTTCTTCGTATGTATTTGGGCATCTTTGAATGGAGTTTAAGATTTTGAATTTTCGAGAACGGACTTTCCTTACCAGTAATGCCAAGCATGCGACTGCGCAAAATGAAAATCTGGTGTCAACCTCTCCTATAGGAAAACAGAAAGATAAGAGAAAAAAATTGTTTAGTCTTTATAACTCTATTTTCTGGTCAAAACAAATCTCGAAGCCAAACGGCATCAGAGTCTGTGGTTGACAACTGCAGCAGGATACAACTGTGGCATTGTTCAATGGGTCTAGCTCTCATTGCCTCAGAATTGGCCGTTTATGCACTGGTGTTGATGGCTCAATGTAGCAAGGTCCCACAGACTTTGGACAAAACCTAACCTTCCCAAATAGGCCGTCAGCTGAAAATACTAGGCGGCCTAGAAATTGACTTTCGACTTCAAATTTTTAGGTAAAATTTTCTGCACATTTTTAAAACCCTCCAAAATCTCTTTGCAATGTGGAGCATTTTGCAGGATTGAGGCTGTACAACAAAAATGTGTGGCTAATTTTGGAGAATGCACTGTGTCAAGGTCTTGGCAGGACCTTGTGTAGTTTAAGCTCAGCTATGCAAAAATGTATCTAGATTATACTTGAAATCCTCCGCACTGCTCCAGGATGTCGCTGGCTCTGCCTCAACATATTGACAGTGATTGCTGGAGGATTTTGCAGGATTGAGGCAGTGGTCACCCCTCCAAGGACCACATTCATTGAAGATGAATGCAATTTTTACACGGAAGCAGTTGGTGGATTTTGCAGGATTGGGTTGCATCCTAGCAAAAATGCCTAGGGAGTTAGGGTTAAAGATGTGTGGTGGTTTCTTGTTTTATAAATGCAACACTCACCCCATTTGTCTCCTATGAATGAGCCATCGTCTTGCTGGAGTCCTTTGACATATTCTATGACTTTGTCAACATTGATGGTGTCGACGGAATCAAAGATCGTTAAAATCTGATGAAAAAAAAACAAGGATGAAATAGTGAATACAGTGAACTGATTAGTTGATTAATCATCAAAATCAACAAAAATCTATCTAAATCCATTTACGATTTTGCAGGATCTAAGTGCATGAATAGTAAAGGGCGCATTGTAGCCACTTTTAAGAGCGGAAGAAATCCATTCGCCATTTTGGGGAAAAACAAGGAAAACAAAAAAGGGCCCGCTCACAGACGAGAAATCATTTTTTGTTTAAAATTTGGCCTTACAAGGGGAGTGTGACCTAGTGGTTAGGGTTGGTGACTCATGATCAGAGGGGCAGGGGTTCAAATCCAGCCGCTGGCCATATGTTGTGTCCTTGGGCAAGCCATTTTACCCCACTTGCCTCTCTCCACCCAGGAGTATAAATGGGTACCGGCATTAGCTGGGGAGTAACCTGCGATGGACTGGCATCCTATCCTGGGAGAACAGAAATATTCTCAGCTGTTTCATGCTACTGAAACCGGAGATAAACGCTGGCCTGATGGGCCACATTGGCTTGTGACCATAGAGCTACATCAAATTACTAGAGTGCTAACTCTTAATTCTCTGTGCACAGACATTTTGAATTTATGTGCGTGTTTGTAGAACACGATAAAAATAGATGGATTAAATTTTAAAAGTGTACTCTAAATGCAACGCGCAAGTAAAAGATACGCAAACAACTTGAGCGCGTCATGATGGTTCAAAAAACGCCACGGCGAAAATCATCTGCAGTGGAGGGATGCGCACACGTTGTGCTGTTTGCATAGAACAAAATGACACGCTCATTTGCTGATTGTGTGTTTCGATTTTGGGCGTATTGGCTTCGATGACGCACCGGCATGGAATACAAATGCAGAAACACAGATACGCAATAGCCGTACAAAATTTTGAGTTTTCCATAGGTTTGTGCGCAAACATGGATGCGTCCATCAGGTATCTCTTTGTACATCGAGTTAGCGCTCTAGTAATTTAATATAGCTCTATGCTCGTGACAGACTTCTGTTTTTCTTCACTGGCCTTATATATAATACTAAACCCAACGTTTCTTTTGTTTTTTGCCTTGCCTGTAATGCACTCAGTGTGTACAGCAAATGAGCATCGTGGTTGACGCTTGCCCCAAAACCTCCACAGTCGTGTTGACAGCTCACGACAAAGTCGACGATCTCCTGCTGAGCCATGGAGTCTAGATGCTTCATCAGGTCCATGACAGTGATGCCCCAGTAGATACCACTCATGCGGAGATATTCGGTCATGACGTACTCCTAGAAAGCATGGGGTGCAAGGAGAATTTAACATGAAATTGTAAACTGGTCCTGATAACCAAGTTCAATAATCTCCTGCTGGACTATGGAGTCTAGGTACTTATATTAGTTGATACTGGTGATGTCCAAGTAGACTTCACATCAGCATCCAATTTCATGCCTTATCTGCTTACTGTTAGCGAAAAATCCCTGCTTACTTCAGCAGAAAATGATGTGCTTATGGCAAACAATTAAGCAATTTCTCTGCTAGCACGGTTAGCAAAAAATGTTGATCATAAGCACAGAATTCTGTGGTTAGTGGCGCCATGAGATTGGGCCCAGATGCCTCAATATCATGATAGAAAACTTCTAAGAAGGATGGGGTACAAGGAGATATTCTTCAGGGTGTAATTGTATGTAAGATCTCCGAACCAACAACTAGGAAGAAAATAAGTCCCTGTTTTTTTTAGGTTTTCTGTTTACTGTGTCACACAATGTCAAGGCAATGATGTGACATGCACACTAAAATTAATGATGAAATAATTATCTCCAATGAAGAGAATAACTGAAGATACATTCAAAGACAACACGTTTTTATAGTGAAGTTTTCTTAACTTTGACAAGAGAAACAAAAGGCAAGTTTCATCAGACCTACATTTTATTATTCACAAAACCACATTTTCAATTAATTTTTTTTTTTTTTTTACGTCATCAGGGGCCAAGTTCGCGCAAGGACTATAGTTGACCAATGGTTAACTAACGTTTGCCCGAACTCTGTCTAGTCGATGGTGGTTGACTACGCTAGTCGACTATTTGGAACCAGCCTACTGGGGTTGGTTGCTTCGCTGGTAATCAATAGGCGCGCGTTTATAACGTTAGCAGAGAGCCAGGATCCAGATGTTTTGCGATGACATTTTGACCAGCGTTTGACTAGAGACGTTCGCATGCTGCTATCAGTGCGCAGGCGTAAGGTACGTCACTAATCAACCACTAGTCGACTAATGGTCCTTGCCCGAACTTGGCCTTAAGTGAGGGTAGCTCCGATCAAAGCAGGGTACTGCTTTCCATGGAGGCCCTCAATATGAGAAACATGAGACTCATTAAGTAGCACCTTTTAAGGGTTGACAAGATGCTGCGGCGCATATTGCAGCCACTGCCAGAAACACCGGGGCAAACCCCTTCTCTTAACGAATAGTGTTACTGGGTTCTTTAATGTGCATTACACAAAACACGGGACCTACGGCTTTACGTCCCATCCGAAGGATGAAGCAATAATGGTAAAGTGCCTTGCTCAAGAGCACAAGCACCATGTTCCCACGGTCAGGATTCGAACCCATGTACCACAGCACACGAGTCGAACACCGTAACCATTGGACCACAGCGCCCCACTTTCAATTTCACAGATCAACACAAATCAACAATCGCACGTGCGAAAAACTTGTATTTTGAGATTATGAATGCAGCTAAAACAAGGCAAAGTTTCAATATCTTACATAGTCGTCTTTCTTTGCGCCATAGCTGGCGATATACTCCACGTGCTTGTCTAAGAGCAGCGTATTTGGGGCGTCCGGCTTAAGTGTCACATCCTTGATGGGAGTTCCCTGTAAACAATACAGTTGGAATAAATTATCATTAGATAGTGGATATTTTGCCGGAGGTAATGACGGCAAAATAACGTTTACTAAAGGTTTGCCGGCGGCAATCCATATCAACAGAGGGCGCTGTACTCTTTAAGATAGGGCTGAATTATAAGATGTATTAAATTCCCACCAGTAGTTGTGTAGCACGTTTGGTGTAGTGGTTAAGCAAAAGCTCTAGTAAGCGGGATGACTCGGGTTCGATCCCGATATCCGCCACATTTTAAAGTTTTTTTTCCCATCCCCAAATAAATAAGAATATTCTTCTTTTATTATTTTAACATGTCTCAAACATTTTATTGCAGAGTATTACATTTTCTTTTTCAGATTTGTGGCTCTGGAGGATTTTTTTTAAAGGGAAATAAAGTCCGAAATAATAAAATGGTCTGAATCCCATCTTGTGAATAAGAGGTTACAACGATAATATTGGCATGAGGCCAGACTAAAATTTGTAAAAAAAACCCAGTAACTGGGCATGTTCAGTGCATATCCGGCAAAATATCCACTGCCTTATCATTATCATTGTCATTTTTTGGTGAAATTTCCAGATTCGTTTGCACACGTTTGCATATCAAAATTTCATCATGAAAATTTCACGGAAAATAGACATCTGAAAAAGGCAGCACTTTCTGATTAGCCTATAAAGAGGGCGAGTATGCTTCTAAAGCAAAAATAAATTACAAACTAAGCCTAAATGTGAAAATCAAATTTTGACATTGAAGTTCTACATGGATTTGCACATGTTCGAAGTGTGGTCTTACTTTATATACGGAGGTAGCCCCACTAGTGTGGCCGTCGGTATGCTGCGCTGAACCTCTGGCCACACACCGTGGTACCGCGCGCTACTGAGGACGAAGTTTTTCATAAAATTCAGGGCAGTTTCTTACATTTTCAGTTTCTTACTTTCTTATGGTTGTATTCTATGATGTCTCCTATCACTTCTGGGATGCTTAGCATGTGCTTAGGTCTAATGATGTTCCATTTTCCGAGATATTCTTCAATCTTTCTGGAGTCCATATGCACTCGTGAAATGTCTGGTGATGGCAGCCATTTTGAATGGGACAAGAGATGACCTCAAGCTGTGACGTCGCGTGTATGCAAATTGCTAGTCGAGCGCGCGAGGGCGCGAGTTGCAAATGCGACAGCTGTTTCCTGTACCATGCATTTATCGTCAGGGGGCCACGTGCACCGATCTCTATTCAGGATCTACGGCACAGGAAACAGCCGTCGCATTTGCAACTCGCGCCCTCGCGCGCTCGACAAGCAATTTGCATAAACGCGACGTCACAGCTTGAGGTCATCTCTTGTCACATTCAAAATGGCTGCCATCACCAGACGTTTCACGAGTGCATATGGACTCCAGAAAGATTGAAGAATATCTCGGAAAATGGAACATCATTAGACCTAAGCACATGCTAAGCATCCCAGAAGTGATAGGAGACATCATAGAATACAACCATAAGAAAGTAAGAAACTGAAAATGTAAGAAACTGCCCTGAATTTTATGAAAAACTTCGTCCTCAGTAGCGCGCGGTACCACGGTGTGTGGCCAGAGGTTCAGCGCAGCATACCGACGGCCACACTAGTGGGGCTAATACGGAGGTAGTCCAGTAAATTGGCCACATTTATGGGGCTACAAGGCTCTAATTATTAAATGCAGTGACAAAATAATTGCGATATCCATTGATATTCTGGTGGTGGGTGGGGGGGGGGGGGGGGGGGGGGGGGCGGAGGGGGGGCATGGGGGTCATGGGGGTTAAACAGTTTTCTTTACTTCTTCTTTTTGTTTTCTTACCTCCGTAAGACAGTCACAACCTGCCAATATGCTCTGTGCATGGACCGTCCAGGCAAGATTACCATATGCGAAGTTCACTAATTTTCCTCTGTATTGACTAACAAGCCCCCAGATAGCAATTTCATGTCATCAAAGTCAATTTGAGCAGTGAGAAAATACAAGCATTTTCTTAGAAAACACTTAGAATTTTTCAGTCCACTCTCATAGGGTTTGTACACAGAGTGTTGAGTGAACTTCGTAGATGGAAATCTTTTCGAAGTGAAGAAAACTGTTAAACCCCCATGCCCCCTCCGCCTCCAACTATTATGGTATTGATGGTAATATCAACATATGGGTAAGCGCATTCCTAGAGAACCGCACTCAACAAGTCATCCTGGATGGAACTACATCCAAATCTGCACCAGTCCTATCAGGGGTTCCTCAAGGGAGTGTTCTGGGCCCACTGCTGTTCCTGCTTTTCATAAACGATCTTCCTGACTGCACTTCAGTGGGCACAACAGCCAGATTATTTGCGGACGACTGTGTCCTGTATCGTACCATCAAGACAGAGGAAGATGCAAGTTTATTGCAGCAGGACTTGGACCACCTTCAGCAATGGGAGAAGGATTGGCAGATGGAGTTCCATCCACAGAAGTGTCAGGTCATCCATATAACCAACAAAAGGAAACTCATCAAACAGCCGTACATCATTCATAACCACGTACTAGAAGAGGTTGACTCTGCAAAATACCTTGGCGTCAACATCCACAAAAACCTGAACTGGAACCATCACATCAATAGCATTACCAACAAAGCAAATTCTACCAGGGCTTTCTTGCAACGAAATATCCATCAGTGTCCTAGAAAAACAAAGGAGCTGTGCTACAAGACCTTAGTACGCCCTATAGTTGAATACTCTTGCATCATATGGGACCCCCTAACAGCAAGCAACATCCAAAAGCTGGAGATGGTGCAACGGCGCTATGCACGCTTCGTGTTTGGGGACTACAGGACCACCAGCAGTGTCACTGCCATGATCAATCAGCTCCAGTGGCCCACCCTTCAAGAACGGCGTACACAGGCCAAGGCAGTGATGATGTTCCGAATTGTCAACAACCTGGTTGATGTCCCACATACCTACCTGACACCAACAGTTGCCCTGAGAGGTCACTCCCTCAGATACCTAGTACCATTCACCAGGACTGGGGTATATCGGCAGTCATTCTTTCCGGATAGCATCAGAATTTGGAACACCCTCCCACAAGATCTCGTCAACTGCACATCGCTTGCAAGCTTCAAGCAGGGTGTGCAGTCAGTCCAGCTCCGCTAAGTCAGCCTGAGTTGTTTTTAGCCGCACCTTATGTTTAAGCTGATCACCTGCACTGTATATATCCTCACCTTGCATGCACACAACAACCGCAGTACGTAATACACCAGATGGTGGACTGTACTTCACCGAAAGAGAGAGAGAGAGAGAGAGAGAGCCCCCCCCCCCCCCCCCCACCACCACTGACCACCAACATGACAATGCTGTCACGCCCCAACTATCGCATCGGTCCCAACTATAGTTGGGCCTGTCCCAACTATAGTTGGGCCTGTCCCAACTGTAGTTCCACAGTTGGGCTGGCCCAACTATAGTTGGGCCCGTCCCAACTATAGTTGGGACGGTCCCAACTGTAAGTTCCCTGTTGGGCGGCCCATCTATAGTTGGGCCACTCCGATCTTTTTATTTTGCGGTGTCCCAACTATAGTTTACATTAATGTACAACTGTAAAACGTTCCCTACAGCTCTGATACACGTCTGACTTTACTGGGGACCACTGAAATTAGTTATTGATGGGGCGAATCTATAGTTGGGCCACTCCAATCTTTTTATTTTGCGGTCCCAACTATAGTGTACATTGTTGTACGATTATAAAACATTCCCTACAACTCTAATACACATCTGACTTTACTTGGGACCAATGAAATTATCTATGGGTGGGAACCATCTGTAGTTGGGCCACCGCAATATTTTTATTTGGCGGTCCCAACTATATAGTTTACATTGATGTACGACTATAAAACATTCCCTACAGCTCTGTTACATACTGTCCGACTTTACTTGGGACCTTTGACATTAGCTATGGGTGGGGCCCATCTATAGTTGGCCGGCCATGGCAATCTTTGAATTTTGCAAAATGTTGCTGGACAATCAACCCAGCAGCTGGACAACTCATCCAACTAGGCAGTACCACGTGACCGGCCAGCCTTGCGGCATGCATGCACGACGAATACACGGTGCCAGCGCCGCGGAACATTTAATCCAACAAGATCTATCAAGCATGAAGCATCCGGCGCAACTCCAGTCCTAACTATAGTTGGGCCGACCCAACTGCCGCACTATAGTTGGGACAGTCCCAACTATAGTTGGGACCGATGCGATAGTTGGCATGGTTGGGGCGTGACAATGCCAATGCAAACGTTATTCATCATTTCATGACTGATCAATAAAAAAAAAACCCAACATGCTTACCATTCTTTGTTGGACGACGAACAGGCTTTTGATCGTTTTACTTCAGGCTAAACTTAGTAAATTGGCACTCACAATATCTGAAAACCGGAATTTGTGATTTTCCTCTGTCTGGCACCGATGTTTCACACGCGCACGATTGACAGGGCATTTGACACGTGCACGATACCTGCAATCCTTATGCGACAGCCCACGAACACATCGGCATAATAAAGTGACCTGACTAAATGTTCAATCCTGGCACAAGGGGGCGCTTTCCACATTTAACGACCAGGTTATTCTGCATATTTTGCATCTATCCAAAGTTCAAGGCCGGCCAGTTGTCTAATAAAATGACTTAAAAACCAAACCCCTTTATATACGTTTTCAACAAATATCCTAGCCAAACACACACACAGAACAATGTGTGTGTTTACTGATCGAAACGGGCAGTAGACCATTTGCCATTTTGCAAATACCAAAAAACAAAATTTACTAATTGTTATGAAATATGTATACCTTAAATTTCTCGACTGTAACAACAAAACTGAATAATAGTCCCAAGCATTCTGTGAAATTATGGCACCTGGTGTGCTGTCATTTAATAAAAATTGGGATTTTTGTGTCAATTTTTTTTCCCCAACGATCTGGCCGGCCGACCATCGTTGGAAAAACTATTTTTGTGTCATACTGCCCCCATTTTACCAAATGTAGTTAGTCCACAGTCTATTTTGCAATACACTTAAACACAACCCAACTCAATTTTGTTTTAATGGTCATGTCTGCCTATGTGCACAAAATGTGGATGGAAGTAGCTATACATGTATTACTATTAGGGGGTATTTGTACAATATTCTGTGATATAGTGTTAATCGTCTGATTTGAACAGCGCCCCCATTGACAATATGGCACAATCTCCCCCCCCCCCCCCCTCCATCATATTTAATTTTCGGAGGCCAATCAAAAGTGTCCAGACAAAAAAAACCTGTCTAGATTTCAGATGTTTTAATTGTGCCGATGCCCCCCCCCCCCCCAAAAAAAATCCCTGGCTCCGCCCCCGGTAGGGCCAGGGAACCAGACTACAAGAACAGATTTTTGTGTTGGTTTTTCTCTACCAACCCTAAAATTCAAAACTTTTAAATAGGTCAGTGTAACAATCTTTGCTATTGTAACCCCCACCCCACTCTGTAAGTTAGCTTTTTTTTTTTACAATATCTTATAATCTATATCAGCACTTTTAAACAAAAGAGAGTAGACACACAATACTGCTCTTTTTTTTTTACATTTTTGTTAATATGAAAAGGGCTTTGATCCTTTCAACCGTAATTTTATAGCAATTAGCATAACCCTTACACTAACACCTTGTTAAGTTTCCCTCGGATAAGCACACTACGAATTCAGTCATTACGAACTGCAATTAACTACTCAAGTATGTTTATTAACCTGTACTCTCCAAATATACCCAGAAAAAGCAACTTTATGGCATTTTACTTCAAAACAGCAGTACAAAATAAACAATATAATAAAATATTATAAAAATATTAAGCGTTAAAATAAAGGCAAGCTACATGTAGTGCAACGCGGTTTTTAACTGTGCTCAGGGCATCTATACATGTACATTGTACATAAATATTTGTGGGCACAGTTTCACGCAAACTCGAGAAATCATTCTTCATACATTGTGTGCATAAAAGACAAATGTGATGCATAATTCTCAGTGTTACAAATAATTCAACACTCACTGTCTAACAAGTAACATGTACATGTAAATTTGCATCATAATAAAATAATTATGGTTTTTGATTATAAATGATATATAGGTAAATATAAAATGGTGGGCTAGCTGCCACAATCACATGCACAAGAGAATGCAAATTGCAAAACTACACGGGAAAACAATATGACAACAATTGTGCTTTTTTTTTTCCAACCAAAAACTCTAGCTTGCTTTTGACATACATTAAACAAGGTGTCATAGCTTGAACCTTTAGACTTGAGGGAATACCTTATGTGGAATACAACCATTAAAATAGATAAATGTAAACACATAAAGTACTACTGAATAATTGGGTACAAAGAACAAGTTAATTTGTGGATAGTACTAACCTTTGACATTTTGTTGTATACCAGGGTAGATGTTTGTTTTGGAATGGTTACAGACACATGCACGTGTGCCTTTCGAAACGAAACAATTTCATATGAGACAAAAGTGATTTTTTAGAGGTCCCTGATTTCCTACTTTAACTAATCTTTTTCAAGTATTAAAGGGAATATACATCATTTGCTTTTGCTGTAATTTTCAGAAATGGATGGAATTGGGGGTTGGAAATATATAGCAAATATATTTACACTGACTTTTTTTTAGGTCTTGGGTTAAAAAATGCCATAAAAACCAAGAAAAACAATCATTTTCCTGTAGTCTGGTTCCCTGACTCCATTTAAGAAGAAACAGAGCAGTTTACATACATTGGGGAATTGTAAGGTCAGGGAACCAGTCTAGCTGGCTTGTACCCGTTCATAGGTGTGTAATCGATTGAAAACAAGTGCGATGGTCAATTGGGGCCAGTATTTGAAAAAAAGCCAGTTTTTTCCAACGCTGATCGGCCGATCAGCGTTGGAAATTGATACAAAAATACCACTTTTCTTGAAAATGACAGTATACCAGGTGCCATGATTTTACAGGATGCTTTACACTGTCATTCACTAACAGTCCAGCAAGGTATTTCAAAATGATTTGGTAGTTTTATTTTTTGATGTTTGCAAATGTTGTATTTTCCCTTTAAATTCTGTTTCAAACATAAAGCCGTGCAGAATTTTTGTTTTCTTTTCTCTTCATGGTCAGGTGTGTCGTGTACTGCATCTTAACCCTTTCCTTACCATGGGCGACTTTTGTCAACAAGAAGAACCCCCCTGCTGGTTCCCATGGGCGACTTTAGTCGACCAGGAAACCACACACAGAACACCCTCAACACAGATATATTCACTACTAGGCGGCATGTTGATATGTTTGGCCGTCCATACATCAACCATATACCAGCTGAAAGAGTGTTTTCGGATCGTTCTAATGGTGTAGTTTATTCATAGTGTTGCCATTACAAAAAAATGAGAAAAGTGCTTCAGAAGCATCCACGCACAAATTGAGGTATGGAGTGCCATTTGGTCATGTGGTGAAATGGCTTGCAGTTTGACAAATGGAACCAGATGAACAAACAGGCATAACTGTCTTATATTTGCACATATGGACTTCATTTTTACATCACATACAAGAGTAAGGTTCAAGGAACAAACTTTACACACAACACCTATGATTTAAATCACTCCTTGGCAGTGAAAATCTGGGTTGAAAAAATGTGAGTTTTGGACTTGTGGTCATTTTGTTCACGCTCTAGTGATTTCCGCATGACTGAGCAAACAATTTGGTCCTGGGGAGAGCTAATTAGTCAATAAACAATGTGGTAATGAAAGGGTTAACCGAAAATAGTCGAACAAGGTTTTCTGTCATTTTGCTACAGAAGTTAAATTTTAAAAATATCCAAAAAGGTTGTATTATGCTTAAAATAAAAAAAAATGATAGTTTCCAATGTTTTAGTATCTTTCTCAAAAAAGCAGTATTCCGTTTCAAAAGCTGAATTTTGATAATTTTGTTGTGTTTTTGAGCTGAAGCAGAAAATCAGTGGACCTACAAAATTCACATTTTCACAGGTCTTATACATAAACTCAAACAAATATGCACATCATACAAGTCTACTGTTCTTTACTGTTGCGCAATGACGCATGTTTCAAAATAAACTATGCAGTGCAAGAATACTGAAAATTTGTTAAGTATATACGGTAGGTCATCATCTTGATGTATACAATTGTGGCAAAAGAAAACGGCAGTCCAAAGTGCAACGTTTACCACCTGCTCGGCAGTCCGGGCTTCTGATTTGAAAATCACAGGTGTGTGGAAAAAGTCACACCTGGATTTTTCTAGGCGTGTAATTTTCTAGGTGTGTGATTTTGTGAAAATTCAGGCGTGCAATTATTCACATTTCTCGGGAAGCTTTTAGGTGTGCGATGGCGTGGGGGTGCGATCGCACGCCTCAAATCAGAAGGACTGGCTCGGGGCATCTTTATGTACATTCCGCACTGGTCTATAAACATCAATGCAACAATTGTAACATGACAGACCTTGTCCATTTCCGCATAATTAACCATAGCTCCTTTTTTATCTACGTACTGGACCAAGTCTGCCAAAATCCATCTCTTACCCTGCTTCACATAATGCTTTAGGACAAAATCTGCTGAAATTCACCACTGCTATAGCTAATAATGATGGACTTGGTACTCATGGCTTGCCCACCAAAATCTCCAAAATGGGGGGGGGGGGGGGGGTGGTGGATTTGGGAAGGTTAGGGTTCATGAAGGAAGCACTATTTGCAATCTTCAATATTGGGCTGCACCATATTTGAATATTTGATCATCCACTAAATATCCGAGAGAGTATTTCTTTTCGATTTAGATATTAAACAACAAGGAGACAACATACCTCGATGTGGTTCAACACAATTTCATGAACTGCAACTCTTAATCCAAAACATTTGCTGAACAATTCAAAATGCTGTACAAAATGCTGACCAATGCATAGATGTAGTCCTTGTGGACTGTCCCAGAATCATCATGTCTCCAATCAGTCTGATCTTACAGCTTTTCGAGACCGGTTGTATCGACGACCAACTTGATGAACATTGTGTCGTCCTTGACGTAGCTGTCGCTGGCCATCAGCAGCTCCTGGGTCACAAAGAGTGGGCAACCGGAGGCGATGTTCATGTCGCTGCTTGGCTTCTTGAAGGAGTTGCTGGTAGGATCCGGACGGAAGGCATTCACGATGTGATCCCGCTTGTTCTGATCCAGGAGCATGAAGGTGACCTTCTGCTGGAAGGGCCACGGCAGGAGAGCGTCATGGCACCCTCGCATGATCATGAAGAACAGCGACATGTGGGTGTGCTTCCCCATACCGTCGCCGTTCAGGTACACCCTCGCCGACATCTTGTAGCCATGTCGGCTGGTGTAGAACACCGGGCAGTGGAAGGATGTGGTCTTGCCGGAGACAGCATCCTGACGACGGCGATTGTACTCGCTTATACGCCACAGCTGAGAGCTATCATATGAGGCATCCTCTAGGGCTTGAATGCGTCGTTCCTGCTCAGCGAAAATGATGCTGCTCGACGTCAGCATCTGATCCTGGGGACAAGGATTGGACATTTACACGTTTAAACTTTTCAACGTAAACAAATCGAAATCCATAATTTTCCAAAATGTTTAAAGGCAGGTTAACAATTCAAGCACGTTACCTCCCATATATAACAAAAGTTTAACCCAGAGCTGAATTTCAGTGTTTTTTATTCTACTGTTGGGAATCTGCATGGACAATATCTGCAAGAATTTTTTTGTTATTAGACTTTGCGATGATTATATTATATACATGTAATCAACGAAAACATGGTATTGTGTTTTGGTTGAGATTTAAGTCCGACTTTTCATCTGATAGCCCTAAACAGTTGACCTAACCAAAATGCGAAGGACGCGTACACCCATCTTCGTAAACACCTATGTACTTTTTAGCAACAGCTCTCATTGGTTTTGTACATGAATTTTAATCTTGGACATTCGGTCAATTGTGAACATATTGTTTGTGCCCTAACCCTTTTGTAGAAGGCCAACGATAGCCAGTGTTTACATACTCACACTTGCACTAACGTTTTTTTCTGGTATAAATCGAAGATTTTCTATTGTTCCTCATCCCTTTTCCTTTGTTTCTACTTTTTTGCAACAGCTCTCATTGGTTTTGTACACCTTATCTAATCGAGGTCGTCCTCGATTTGGTTCCTGTCCTCAATTCGTCGATGCTGTTGCACGTGTGTATCCTCGATTTACACAATAAAAACACACACACAGACACAGACAGAAAACACTATCGCAAGTTCCCCCTTATGGCTAAAGCCAGGGGGATAAAAAAATTAGGGATCTGCATGTTAGGCTTGCGCGGGTCCGGCGGTTCCCCGGTTCTAACCGGTTCTAATATGGGAACCGGAACCGCGAGTCCAATATTTTCAAGAACCAGGTACCCGCTATCGTCGGTTCCAGCTCCAAAAGAATCGGTTCCAGATTAAATTACCAAATTTCTGTGCACAAAATCCAAAGCCAAGAATCAGCTCCACAGGAAATCAATCGCGGAGGCGCGGCCCGGGACTTTCACTCGGGCCGGCTAGTCAAAACAATTTTTCACAAGTCGGAGACAAACAGCTCAGCAGAGCTCAACACAGCCCTTTTTGAGTTTGCGGTCGGCCACGAGGCGTGCATATACAGCATTGAACCCAATACTGGCCCTGTACGATGGATAATAAACATGCACGGGGTGGTAAAACCTTCTCCTAAAAAAGTCAAGTGTGGACACGGCTTTAGAAGTACCGCAGAACTTGGTTGCATATGGGTCACACATTAACATTTTAAGTTTTTACTTTTTCAATGACCACCCGTTAGGCCCATACATGTAAATACATGTATATGCGAAATGTTTCCAAACTGAAACGCAAAGTCACATCCTTACCTGGAAAAGAAGCTGCTTCCTCTGCCTCTCGATGATCTCTTTCAGGTAGGCGTTCTGCTTCTCTAGGTTCTTCCATTCTCCCTCCGGCTTGGTTTTCACTAAGTCTGCCTTCAGTTTTTTATTCTCTTCACGCAGTTTAGTGATCTCCTTCTGCAATGCAGCGGCATCCACGGACCCATGAGCGTCAGTTTTCTTCTCGTTATCCTCCATGGTACTTGCAACAACATGAGATGAGAAAATCAAATTAGAAAAAGAGAAGGAGACAGAGAAAGAAGGGGAAAAAATGGTCAGAACAAAGACAAATTTACCAAAGGTTGTTGAATGCCGTGGCCTCGTGGTCTGGGGCATAGGATTTGTGGCCTACGGGTAATTCTGCAGGTTGTGGGTTCGAGTCCAGCCTGGGGTCATGGTGCATGTGCCCTTGAGCAAGGCACTTTGTCACTCATTGCTTCTCCCCACCCAGGAGTAAATGGGTACCTGTGAGGGCAGAGATGGTTTATTGTGATTGAATTATAGCTTCCTTGCGCCCAACAGGCAGCATCGAGCTGTATACTCCCCAGGGAGCTGAGATGGTATGAAATGTTTAATTGGCCAAATGATAAGGGGTAATAATAATGTAAAGGGCTTTCATCTTAGTTAAAAGCGCTATATAGACCGCTTGCAGACGCATTCGATAATCGACGCGCGAAGGTGTGCGACGCCATGTTGTGGGACAAAATGTGCATGGATAGATATGCGCTTGTCCCACAACATGGCGTCGCGCGCCTTCGCGCGTCGATATCGAACGCGTCTGCAAGCAGTCTATAAGAACCCGTTATTATTATTCTTATCATTAAAGCTTAAGTTGACAATTATTAAATGTTGTCCTTCTGATTTGGAAATCACAGGTGTGTGGAAAAAGGCACACCTGGATTTTCCTAGGCGTGTGATTTTTCTAGGCGTGTACTTTTTCGATAGGCGTGTGCTTTTTCTAGGCGTGTGATTTTTCTAGGTGTGTGATTTTTCTAGGCGTGTGCTTTTTCTAGGCGTGTGATTTTTCTAGGGGTGTGATTTTTCTAGGTGTGTGATTTTTCTAGGCGTGTGCTTTTTCTAGGCGTGTGATTTTTCTAGGCTTGTGATTTTTCTAGGCGTGTGATTTTTCTGGGCATGTGATTCTGTGGTCCAAGTGGGAACTGAAGATTTTGGTATTTTTTTAATAATATTCATCTTGGTTAACGGTAAAGACATTTTCTCTTCAGTCAACATATACATGTACTTTTTTTCATGCAAATTATGCTGTAAATGTATGCCGAGGTGTGCGGTACTGAGGGATTCAGGCGTGCGATTATTAGCACTCAATCTCAGGAAGCTTTTAGGCGTGTGATGGCATGGGGGTGCGATCGCACGCCTCAAATCAGAAGGACTAATACAGTGAAATTTCAATAAGTCAAACCTCAAGGGAACAGGTTCAAAATTTGACTTCAGCAGAGTTTTGAGTTAAGCAGGGTTGTATATATCATTGCTATACAACTGAAGGGAATGAATTCTTTGTTTGACTTAACAGTTGTTTTCAGAGTTTGACTTACATGTATCGAGATTTAAACTATTGTTTGCATAACTAGACCTCTTTACAAAGCACATGTCGAAGATGAATGCAATGGATCAAAGGACCTTTTTCATGAAATATGCAAATAAGTTAAGCGCATGCGCATGACTACCAGTACCACTGGTTGGCAGTACTGCAGCCATCGATACTCTTTAGCAGTGGTGGAGTACTGGTTCAATCAAAACCTGACGGTCTGAAAGTCAATCAAAACTGTAATCAGGCCCTTCTCCGAGATGTCAGCATCTTTTTCACGAAACCAAATTGACTTGCTAGTCTGCTGACCTTGGAAAGTAAAATTTTTAAAAAGTTTTATCTGTTACTTGCGGCGTGTTTGCCTTTGTTGCGCGCACGTCGGCAGTTGTATTGTGACGTCGATAATTTACGCACTTTTGACAACCAAAGGTACCCGGTATCAATGCGCATGTGCTTGCTAAATTTGCATATTTCATGGGAGGTACGTCACAATTTAAATCCCCCAAGCGCGTGCAACAATTAACGCAGCCACGCAGTAGCGGCCCGTCACCGGTATAGTTTGACATGAGTACTGAACTGAAAGATAAAACTCCCACAAAATTTTCAATTTCCAAGTTCAGCAGAATACCAAATCAATTGGTTTTCGTAAAGAAGATGCTGAAATCTCAGAGAAGGGCCTGATTACAGTTTTGATTGACCTTCAGACCGTCAGGTTTTGGTTGGGAGTTTTATCTTTCAGTTTGGTACTCATGCCAAACTATACCGGTGACGGGCTGCTACTGTGTGGCTGCGTTATTTGTTGTACGCGCTTGGGGAATTTGAATTGTGACGTACCTTCCACGAAATATGCAAATTAAGCAAGCACATGCGCATTAATACTTTTGGTTGTCAAAAGTGCGTAAATTATCGACGTCACAATACAACTGCCGACGTGCGCGCAACAAAGGCAAACACGCCGCAAGTAATAGATAAAACTTTTTAAAAATTTTACTTTCCAAGTTCAGCAGAATACCAAATCAATTGGTTTTCGTAAAGAAGATGCTGAAATCTCAGAGAAGGGCCTGATTACAGTTTTGATTGACTTTCAGACCGTCAGGTTTCTATTGAACCAGTACTCCACCATTGCTATACAGTATTGACGACTGCGGCACTGCCAATCAGTGGTAGTAATGCGCATGCGCTTATCTTATTTGCATATTTCATGGAAAAGGTCCATTAACACTGCTGCATAGGCACTCAGTATTTCCACCAAAATATCATCACGAAAAAGTTCCTGACATGATCATTGTTGACATTTTACATGTTTCAGGCCCAAAAATAAACATAACGGTACATGTAAATTTGTACGTTAGATTCTCGTTCAATGCATTTCATCTTTTTTCCACGACATCTGACAAAAATGCCTGACTGTGTTTATGGTGTATACACAGCATCGACCATGACCACTCAGTCATCTTTGACAACCATTCTTGCTATCCAAAAAAACCTTAACACCTCAAAAATAAAGGCTGCCACACTGAATCAAAACTGCCAAAGGTTGATCCTCTTTTGAACGATACCACGCAAAAAATGGCGACACTTCTATTATATCAATTGTGTGTGTTGAACTGTAGTATGTATGTGCAGTGACGTATGTGCAATGACAAATGAGGGCGCTCGTACTCTTCAAGCTTAGCGAATTTTTGTATTAAAAAAAAAATTGAAATTGAAATTGAAATTGAAATACATAAAAAAGATAAAAAAATTATATAAAAATGTGGTACAATCACCCAATTGTATTGATTCAGTTACTCAAAAAAAAATCACCTGATTTCATTTACACGTATTCTACATCATTGGTTCAGTAAAACATGAATGGGGCTATTCTATAGGGGTCCAAAGTGGGACATTGCATTAAAAGGGCTCAAAAACTTAAGTTAGTTTAATTATGGTCGATCTGGCTTTTCATAATATGGTTAACACTAACAGTCCGTGGGACGAGGCCTTTTTTTCGCTCGCCACACGGTTTGGTTCGCCGAATTTTATAAAACTTCAAAGACATGTAGATCATGGTGTACCCTATTAAAAAAAATGTGTTCCCCGATCCACAGTTTGTTTGGGAATGAGAAAATCTGGGATAAAAACGCTGAAAATTCTACATGAGAAAAAAACATAAGAAACAGCACCCTCTATTGACATAGTCAAACACTTTTTCTTACGAAATGGCCGTCCGAGTTCGGGCGGTCTGTTCTTGACGAGAGTATTTTTATTCTGGCTCTCGAACGGCGGGAAAACAACCCACGAAAACTGCACTTGGAACAGGATCTCACACCACCTGTCTGTCAAGGTTTGCTAGAATAATATATCCGTGTCAAGAACAAGACCCGCCAGCTAACTCGGCTAAGGAGTGCTTGCTAGACGATACTTCTTTCATAATATTTCATTTCATTATTTCTCATCGGGATGCCAAAATTATTTTCGTTACAGTTTGTCCAACATGAAATTTAAATTTAAGATCGAATGTTATGTACAATCAGCTACAAATATCGATTGGTATTCAATTAAACCCCAGATCAGAAGAATTTTGTGAACTCTTATCTCAGGGTAACATGTTTTCAACAATGATAGAAGTGCGTGGAATCTGATGGAGCATCTGAACTGCTGAAACATTTTTAAAAAAAAATTATGCCAGATATTTTAAAAGAAAGTGATAAAAATTTGACGCAGCCTCAAAAAAGGAAGCAGCTGGGCTTTTGGGGTTTATTGGTAGTTTTCAAGGAGTGGATAGAGCAACAACAAAACATGAATTGGTTCTTAAAACAATATTCGAAATAATATAACCAGTAAGACGGTTTCAGCTGAAGCAAATTGCAGTTGTAATACTGCCGCTCAAGGCTTCCAAATAGGGGAACATAAATTAATTTTCTCTTCTAAAAAAGTCTGCAAACAGAAAGCTGGTCCTTCAATTTGATGAGACTTTTGACATGTTATACAACAATTATGTAATAGGACTGTGATGTACATGCAGGTGCTCACAATTGTTTTTGAGTTGAAAATAAACAAGTACATGTAATGCTCATACAGATGGAACAAACTTATGAACAAAAATAAACAAAATTTTCATCGAACTACCATCCTTCTTGTGTGTAAAAAACTGTGCAGGTTTAAATTGCCCCCCCCCCTCCCCAAATAAATAAATGAAATAAAATTAGATTATATTAAATAAATCACTTATTTGTTTTTCTTTTAGTGATTACTGAAACCACATTGTGCCTGGAATATAAAAAAATACCAAAACAGCATTTGCAGTTATTGCCGTGTTTATTTTTGAGTCTTTTTTGTTAAAGGGTAATCAAAAATAAAATCAACCTAAGTACATGTAGAACTTGAGATGTCTGTTTTAAATGGTTTTGTGATAAGACGTATGCGCTTCAGCTGATCTGATAGTATGTATATAATCGTTTTTTTTTTTAATTCACGGCTACGAAAGGGGAAAGTTTGTTTTAAAAAAAGTAAATTTATGGCAATTTTTTGACAAATGTCCCCCCCCAAAAAAATAAATTGGAGCAGAATTGAAAGATGTTACCCTGAGATTCTCATCTGGGGATCGGTTCAACACTTACTATGCCAACCAATTCTTATGTAGTTATAAATTACATACATGTACATGCAACATATTCGATCCGAAACTTGATCATTTCAAGTTTGACAAACTGAAATGAAAAGGGTTTGGCATCCTGATGAAAAATAATCTAGAAAAATCTAGAATACGCGTGTAATATGAAACTTGAAAGAGATAGTATCTGGCAAGCACTCATTTCGTGCTAAAAGGTTTCTGTGTCAATAGAGGGCACTATTTCTTACAGTTTTTTTCGCATGCAGAATTTTCAGTGTTTTTATCCCAGATTTTTTTTATTCCCAAACAAACTGTGGATCGGGGAACAAAGTTTTTTAGATATGGTACATCATAATCTACATGTCTGGACAGTTTTATAAAATTTGGCGAACCAGATTGCGTATCTCGAAAACTTACGCGTAAATCATTTTATTTAATGGACAGAATTTGTAAAATACTAAGAAAAAGTAAACAATGTGGCCATGAAAGACACTTTACACACAGCAGAATAGGTTCACACGTAACAGGAACACCGGGGGACACCAAATGCTACATGTGAAACCATTATATTGGGGAGCACCATATCACATCTTCACCCAATCATTTCTTTAAAAATTGTATCTCATGTTGAAATTGAGCTAGTACATGTACATCCATCATTTTGACCTAGAAAATGACATAGTTTACCTTTTAAGGAGGCACAAATGTAAATATTTTGAGACTGCAATTTTTGTACCAACTTTTAGCCAAAAATATGAGAATTTTCGGCTTATTTTCAACCAAATCAGGAACTAAATGGGATCAACAAATTTGTAGGTTTTATCAACTTTTATTGGAGTTTGTTACACATAAAGTATAAAAGATTTCTTAAAAAAAAAAAATTCCTATTGGACCCCTAATTTATAGAACATACAGTTCTCCATAGGCATGTTGATTTCTTGAAAATGCTAATTTTAAAACTGTCAGTACTGATCCTTGTTTAACGTTTTGTGTTTGATTGATGGTCCTAATTCACACAAGGTGGAGAACACAGATCAGGCCTTGGCCCTTTAAAAGGTATGATATCAATCTCAGTCTAAATTTTTATGGAGAAACTTTAGGAATCAGATAACCTTGGTCAATGCTCTCGTCGTTATTCGTCCCGTACGCGGCCGTCAATCGTCAGCATATATCCTCACGCGCTATGCACATGCATGTAAAAATACAGCGCGAACAGCGACCTCATGCTGCCACTATTTTTATATGCAAATCAGTTGGGGACGATCGAGAGCCTTGATTCAATCGTCGGCAAAAGCTTATGTTTTTTCTTTATTTTGCGCTGGATTTCTAGCGCACGACCTTGTATGCGAATACAGATAAGTGTAGGCAGGGCTAATATGTGGAGTGTCCAATCACACCTTAGTAAATCCGGACGTCTCAAATTATTTGCAGCTATTCGCCTTTTGCGGACGTGACAGGACCCACAGTTTTTATGCATTGGTGCCGTGTGCAGAGACACACAACGTGTAAGTGTATGGATTATGTATGGTGCCACGTTTCACTATGCAAGTTTCCTCGCAACGATCGACCAATAACAAAACGACATTTAAGGTCAGCTAAGGCTATTAACATAATGAGCACCACCCCCAAAACCTCACATGGACGATTGAACCAAGGCTCTCGATCGTCCCCAACTGATTTGCATATAAAAATAGTGGCAGCATGAGGTCGCTGTTCGCGCTGTATTTTTACATGCATGTGCATAGCGCGTGAGGATATATGCCGACGATTGACCGCGTACAGGACGAATAACGACGAGAGCATTGACCAAGGCTAGGAATCAGACTATCAATTGGGATTTCAATTAATACACCATTTAATGGTTCAGATAAGCCCACACTAGCACAGTTGATTCACAATAAACCGTAAACAGATCAAGAAATGATTAAAGCAAATGTGATTAAAGCTCTGTCTTTAAATTTCAAATTTCAAAAGAAAAATAGTTAAACTCAGATCTTGACAATGATTTTTGGTAATTACGTGTATGCAAAACATACCGGTACATGTATGTAAGTTGAGTCAATTCTAGGGGTGTTTGAATGTTTTAACATCTTACACTTTATAATTTAGTGAAATCAGTTGATTTTAGTTATTAAAATGACACTCGATCCATTAAATTTACCAACAATTTGATTTTTACAGAAAAGTGATTTAAATCAACGTGATTTAAAGGGAAGATACATCATTTGCAAACATCACAAAACGAAATGATCAAATTATCACAAAATACCAAACTGGATTGTTAGGGCATGACAGTCTAAAGCATCCTGTAAAATCATGATTCCTGGTGTGCTGACATTTTCAAGAAAAATGGTATTTTTCCAACGCTGGTCGGCCGACCAGCGTTGGAGAAAACTGACTTTTTTTTAAAAACTGCTCCTAATTTTTCATAATTAGTTATTCCGCGTTTTCTTTGCAATTGATTACAAAACTGTGAAGGGGTACAAGCCTGCTAGACTGATTCTCTGACCATACAATTCCCCAAAGTCTATAAATTCTCCATTTCATTTTAAATGGGGTCAGGGAACCAGACTACAAGAACATGAATGGTTTTCTTGGTATTTCCAGCATCTAGAAGCCCAAAAACGTGAAACAAGTCATTTTAACAATATTTGCTTTAACATCCTAATCCTCCAAAGTGATTTATTTCTGAAAAGTGCAGCAAAAGCAAATGTTGTACATTCCCTTTAAATCAGCCAACCCTGGACTACTCTTTGACCACAAAACTTGACAATCGATAAATATTCCCTTGTTATGTCATGCATGAAATGAAATTAAAAAAAATTGATTACACTGAGTTTTTATAAACATGTACCGGTACCACCCACGTAAACACGGTAAAGTTCAGTTATTACACGCAGAGGCCAGTTGGTTGCCATATGATAATATGATGAATTTTTTAGCATTACCGTGATAAAAACATCTGGTCAAAATACATATTTACATGTAATCAATGCCTGCATTGCGCAAGTCACCATGAAGCTAACATCTTAAAGCTATAGTCCATCATTTGTAATTTGTGCATTTTGTTCATTTGAAGCAACAAAAGAGTTCAAAATCTAATGAAGGATACTGAGCAACTAACCTGATGAAGTTTCAGCTAAGCTTCAGCTGTACATTCCGAGAAAAACAGCATTCTAAGATCTCAATTTCAAATCAAAAGTTACTGAATCATGTTTTGAATTGTTTTGAATTGCAGCTATACGCGACGTCGCGCACTGATCCGACGAATTATAACAACCGCGCGCGCGCGTGTGCGTCGTTCCAATGCTTGTGCGCGCTGCGCTGAATCACAAAACGAACTACTAATTTAAATTTTCCTACGGTGCTTCTTAAGAATCACCGTTGGAAATGCCTTCTTTCGTTGATTACTTCAAAATGACAGCTTCCCAGAAAGAATAATTTCACAGGGAGTTTAGTTCCCTTACTATCTTTCAACCAAGTTTGTTTTTCAACAGTAATTACGCCAGTTACTTTTCGGATGGCTGCAAATGATGGACTATAGCTTTAATGCGGGAAACTGTGCCAAAAAAAGAAGAAAAAGAAATTCAAAGTACATTTTTCCATTACAGCACTGACGTAGTGGTTTTCTAGATGATACACGCATTCTGCTGGAAAGTCACACGAAACACGGAAACTACTGAGACTTTTCACTGGTTTTGGGTTTTTTTTGGTATGCCTCAAGAGGTATTATAGAATTCCATTTGCATACAAAAGAAAAAACCCAAAGTCATGGCTTTAAATTCCATATTTTGTATTGCATTTTTTTTCCATTCATTTTTTATCAAGATCCACACAATGACTGTTTTTGTGCCCAAACTCACAAGATTTGAACTGTATGAATTGCTGCCTACTTGGGCATGACTTTTTTTTCAGTGAAAAATATTTTTTTTATAAAGTGCAGACTTGCACTTTTCATGGCCCTGGAAAATAAGTCAGGCATGCAACTTGGAAGAAACAAAAATGAGGAAACTCCAATCTTTGCAAGACTTTGTACACTGTTGTTCAATTTTTAATGGCGTAAGTGTGAAGTGAAAAACGAGGAAATCAGCTGATCCGAGGAAAAGTTGCATGCCTGATTAGTACAGAACATAAAGTAAAAAACAAAATAAACAGTAAGAAAAAAATGATTTATAATACAGCATCAATGCAGATTGTTGATCATGAACAAACGTGTCCTTTTTAATAACACGCCCCTTTTGTATTAAATGAAGTACATGGGGGTTGGGGTGTGAATAGGGGTGGGGGTGGATCCGTCCCCCTATGCAGCCCATAGAGCTTAACAAAAACCTGTCAAAACAGACAGACATGTACGAAAACACGCAATTCAAAAGAAAACTTTAAAAAAAAACATACACATACTAAAAAGTCCCACATACCTTTGCGTTGCAACCGAGTGGATGAAAAACACATTTAGCTTTCCTCTTAATGGAGTCTCCAGTGTCGGGATTTAAATGCTTCTCCATCTGTTAAAAAAAAAAAAAAAAAAATGACCTAAAATTCATTCAATATTGGTCCTCTAACTACAAAGGTTAAACAAATTTTAAGTACTGCAAATTTACTCTTCAAAAATGAACAAAAAAATAAATCACAAAATTCAGAACAAGTTTTTCTGACCGAATTTAAGATCAGGCATGCAACTGGGAAGTCACAAAAAAAGAGGAAATTCAAATCTTTCCCAGACTTTGTACAGTGTTTTTCTATTTTCAATGGCACACATGGGAAGTAAAAAAAAGAGGAAAAACTCTTTCAAGCAAAAAAATAAAATAAAATCGCACCCATTCGCTTTTTAGGTAATGGTTCCTTTGACTGACTGTTGGAATTCAAAACTATCAAGGCTGTCATTTTCCAAGCAAATCCTCAATCCACAATGTTTTAAAGATCAATGTTTCCTTTCACTATTGCCCTGTAGGTATTTGATTTGTTTTTGATACCTAGGTTTCCTGTTTTCAAATGCTTGTAACATATTTTTCTCTGAAAAGTAACGTTACAAAGTCCATTCATATACTTTTGGCTTTGAATCAGATGACCTTGAGTGGGAGTGGTCAAAACATTACAGCAAAATGTGTCAATTCAGTGAGGCGTAAAAAGTGTGCCAAGCCCGGGACACGTTGGAACTCAAGTGGTTATTGTTCTGGGCGGGTGGGTAGTCATGTACATCGTGAGTGACAGTACTTGCAAGAGCATTTATTGTATAAAAGCCAGACTTAATCGAACGATCATCACACAAGCGGCACACCCTCAATTGTTGGATGTTCTACTGGACTGAAAGTGAAGTCATGCCCAGGAACTACGTAAGTAGTGCAACGTTAGTTTTGCTGTTTTCTTAAAACTTATAAATCTTTACTATTTCCCTTAAAACAATGAAAGTCGTATGTCTGCAAAATTGAAACCTGAATTCTCAGTGGGTTGATTACTATTCGTTCTTCTTTGTGCTAACCCACGCTCTTCAGTGCAGTACCTTGGAGTCTAACGTTCAAAATGCTTTGATTGATATGAAAATCGACTTGATCAAAATGAATAATAGGTGCTTTTAGTGTTTCGGACCTTGGAATTGATTAGGCCAAAAAACAAAAAAAAAAGTTCTGCTTCCGATTACATGGCATTCAAAAATAGGGAAAATTGTAGGTAGGTAGGGAATTTTTTTTTTTTGGCCTATTTTTTTTTTTTTTGTACGATCATATGGGGGTGTCTGCATGTAATCAAGGGTAAGGCAAAAAAAAATAGTCGGTCTCTGGTCAGCGCGCGCGTCGATTTTAATCATGCGCGTCAACCTTTTTTTTTTCAAATTGTCCGCGGTAGCTACAGCAGCGCCCTCTATTGCCGCACCTCCTCAAATAAGTCAGTTGCCTCTAGTGCTCCCCTTGAAGTATGTAGTTCCATGGGATTACTACCAAATAACTAGTTAATGTTTTACCTTCAATTCCTTGTAAGGCAGTTTTTTTTTTTTTTTAAATATCTGCAATGGATGACTCTCATGGGGCATTCCTTCCCAAAGTGGTGAGACAGGTCGCCTCGCATCACAACTTCAAGCATTTGATTCTTTCAAACGGACGTGATGCTTCGTGCTCCTGGAATAAAATAAACAGATAAAATTAATAAAGAATACTGGTTGAAAAAAAAAAAACAACAATTACACACAAAACTTCATGTAACTGAAATAAGTGCATCAATGCTCGAGTCCTATTAATTTCCAATTTCAATTCAATTAAATGGGTGCTGGTTTTTCTTTTAAATAGTACAAAAATGAAATGTTTGTCTTTATATTTACAAGCATACAAATTGCATGGAGGTGCTTAGATAATCAGCTTTAAAGTATACATACATGTAGCAAGAAACAACAAATAAACAACCAGACAAATAAACAAACACAATAGACAAATAAAAACAAACCCCCCAAAAAAATTCCTCTTACCTGCATGTACTCTTGCAACTTTCTCGTACAGTTGCAGCCTTCATTTGAGCATTTAAAAGAACCATTTTGATTCTTTCCGAGCAACAAAATCCAGGCATCTGCATAAAAAAAAGAATCACAAAATCTCATTTAATTAGCGACGTAATATGATTATTTATTTTGAAATGATGACGCCATATATTGTTGGCAAGAGCATCTCTCAAATGGATTTTCTGATGTGTTCACGTATCCAACACAATCACCGAATGTCACTTTTGTCATGTTCAATTTGAAAAAGTCTCCGATTTGTCAATCGTCCACAAATCTTGCTGCATTAGAATTTCTTAACGATATGCTACCACACATGCACATGTATGAATGTTGGACTGCTTTACATGGTAAAGAAATGCATGCAGGTTCGTGACAATGTTATTCAGCATCCAGCACTATGAGTCATGAATGTCTCAGGTGTGTCGATAACCCTTTCCTTACGTCTTAACTTTTTATGCATCGAACATGATGACGCACGGTCTCCAAGGGAGATTTCAGTCTTCTCAACTTGTTATCGCTCAAATACCACACATATACTAACCTCGTTTTTCATCAAGAACGTCTTCCGAGGAATTTTCTGGTGATGCGCTATCACTGAAACAACAAAAATAAACAAGGATGCTACAGACGGTAATTTCAGAAGTGAAATAATAATGATATATATGAAAAAAATACCGGTACCGGATCCCATAATGCAGTTTGCCACGGAGAGTTCATTTTTCCTAGTGCATTGTGGGAGATGGTCGATAAATTCGCAGTGGGGGACAATTGAAATTGATATTTTTTCCGGCCAGAAGTTTCGTAAGCGTATGATTCAAGTATAAATTTGCCTTTTTCTTTTCTTTGTATCATTATGGTGTTTTTAGTAAGTCGGCAGAACGTTACCCAAATTCATAACCAATTAGCTAAAGTTGTTTAACGACACTCATTCAAATGGGCCTTGTTTTGTCAACCGTAAATTTGGAAAACTGACTCTCCATGGCAAACTCTTGGTGGCGCACTGCATTGCGAATCGCCCGAATTCATGACATCAGTGGTCGGGTACTCGGGTACTCGGGTACCCAGTTCCGACGCGCAGCCCTGTTGCATGTATAAATAGGGCCTACAATTGAATTGCGCCAAAAATAAGACAAAATGTTTAAAAAAAACTACATAATACCATACACTTTATTTTGAAATGCGAAATTTAAACATATTTTTTTGTTATTTATTCCATTACTAGAAGAAACGATAATTTTGCATTTTGTTCACGATATGCAAAGTGTTAACGTAAAATTCAGTGCGGCATAGAATGATTAAGGAGAACTTGTATCCCACGGAACCCTGGGGGACTGAACAAAATGAAAGCATTGTTTAGTTTATTAGGTCACCAATCTTTGCAAACTATCTTTAAAAAAAAAAATATTTCAATACACAAAAAACTTTGTGTAATGAAATTTAGTGTGAATTTACCTGCTTTAACACGTTTCTGTGAGTTTTGTAAAGCAATTGCGATGTCTACAGGACACTATGGACCTTTACAATTTTCACGAATGAAGGAAGTATACTTTCTGTTTTCTGCAACTGGCGATACATGTACTGTATGCATTGCCTTGAATTGGACTATTACACAAGTAAGGCCCAAAAAAAAAAAGTCTCCGGTTTCTGGTATGGAGCTCACCAAAGTGGTGCGTCGACGCGGCCTTTTTTTTTTTTTTTACCTGTTTTTTTTTGCTTCAAATGTCGGCTGAGGGCTGCAATTGGTGCCCGACTAAACTTAGTGAAAATATATGGGAGTCCAGAGAGACCACATAAAGCTTATTCTCGATCATAACCCCATCTAAAAACACGTTAAAATTGTACAGCAGCAGGATTCCAGTCAAACCATTGAGTTTGGCAGTTTTGAGACATCATCTTTTATTGAAAAAAAAACTTTTCATTTTGCCGACGTGCATGGCTACGGCGACGCGCCCGCACATACCAGAAACCCGCACATAACACAAACCGGAGACTTATTTTTTTTGGCCTAACCCTCTGTGTGTGGCAATTCCTACACATAAGAGACCCTACTGTTCGACAATCATTCATTCATGAAAACAACTCAACCGTAAAAAAGCTGAACAATAAAGGCAAACTTTTATTTATACAGAATCAGGCATTTACTTTCAGTCAATGCTTAATGCTTTTAGTACTTTTTGCTTAAACTTAATTCCTAGAATTTGCTAGTTTTTATTCATACGACCCATTGTGTACACACAAAGTGTGCACTCTTACTGATACTAGTCTTAGCAGTTCAACAGGCCCATTGGTGATGGAAGCAAGCAATGCAAGGCATTTTTTTACCCAACCACATTAATTTGATTTGCTTCCCGTGAGGCTGAGCATATTAATGGGCATACGGGTACCAGTGTAGCGTGAATATCCGACTCCATAAAATGTGGACTCATAGGCCATTGGTAGCATACATTACGATAATATGCTATTTTTAGGACATTATGGTATAGGGTGACGTCACTAACCCATCATGTGCGAGAGATAACCAAAGATAGGGAAAAGGCCAAAAGGGGTCCGATTTTCACAGGAGTCGGATTTTCATATGCCTCCGGTATGTTCCCTAAGTAATACCAATGTCTCGTAACTCTAACATGTCTAACATGTCTAAGGAGTTTGGAGAACATAAGTATTGGGAACATAGGTATTGGGGAACATCAGGTAGATGCCGCTATGATCTGCCCATTCACTAATGCTCTATTGCTCTATTTCTAAATGCATCATGATGCTCTTATATTTTTATTTCCTGATCATGCAGAACAGGATGTAGCATTTGATTCATATCATCAATCGTCCAAGTAATATCCATGGATAAATTTAGGATAAGGCCTAGGCTGTTCCTAGCTAGGATGATCGGTGATCCTAGCGTTATGTTTATGCTGTTCCTTGCTATGGGCCAAGGCAGAAAAAAAGGAGAAAGGTGTGAAAAGGGAAACAGGCGCAGCTGGGGACAAGACTGCTAAAATTAGGCCCTATTTTATTTGGAAAGAATTTCATACATCATGGACATCAATCGTATTGAATCATGTAAATGAAATGATCAAAAGATGTCGTCCAGCCTTTCTTCTGAAATCAGAAGGTTTCTAGTTACTTCTACTAGCTCGTCAGTTGACGGAGAGAAGCCTTCTGATTTCAGAAAAAGTCCAACCTGGGCTTTAATGGCCTAACTAGCGGAGCTACATGAACATGATGAATGCCTAACACAAATTGCACCATGGATGGAGAGATACTACTTCTAAAATTAGAAGGCTTCTCTCCGTCAGAGATCATAGAGAGAAGCCTTCTTATTTTAGAAGGGGAGAGATACGACTAGCGAGACAACTAACTTAACTATCGATATAACTTACTTACCCTCTTTTCCTTCATGTGCAACGTTGGACTCACTGACAGAGCTGAATCAAAGACATATTATCGTCATCATATTTTTTAAAAAAAATTACTGTTCTCTCGTTCTTTGAATGCATAAATTTCCGACGGAACTGCGAAAGCACTGCACAAAGCGACTGGAGCATGTGAAGGGGAGTAATTGCAGAATACCCCGCCACTCGGAAATACACCCCTAAAATCACTGGCTACGAGGTTGGAATCACTGCAAAAGAAACAATTCAAGTCCATTGCCAGCTACGCGGATACTGAGTGGGGGTCCATTATTTGAGAACGAAGCAACACAAAATGAATGGGAGTTGCTGAAAAAATTCTAAGTCCAAACCAACCACCCTGTTGGCGGCTACGAGGCTACGGGGTGGGAGTCCCCTTGAATATGCTTGAGAACGAAGCAACACAAAAGGGATGGGAGTTGCTGAAAAAATTCTAAGTCCAAACCAACTACCCTGTTGGCGGCTACGCAGTCACGAAGTGGGAGCCGGGAGTGCAATGGAGCATGACGCATTGTACATACAAGTAGCGCTGAGAATGTTTATTGAGGTCAATCAACCGTGACCTCGTAGCCGGCTACGAGGTGGATAGATCGGGTGGCGGGGTATTCTGCAATTGTGCCTGTGAAGGTAGCAGACCAGTAAATAAACTTCCATAGACCCCAATATGGTAAATGCTCCCACTTCAGAAATTCGGGAAAAATACTCAGCTCACAACTCTCCAAAGTGTTCGAGACACACATCAAATCAAAGCTTATTTCATCATCTTTCATTTTCTTTTCAATTTTCGGGGGGTCAATGATGACTTTTAGGAGAAATTTCCATCTGAAGATGATCACCCCTGAAAATAGTCCTGAAGTCCATCGCCATTTTGAAAAACGATGCCTACACTCCATTGCAAAATAGAGCGCTTTTAGGGTCCAAATTACATCCAAATTACACAGAACTGCAAGCTCACAGTCCTGTGCACGGCTTCCACCCATATTTTTTACAAACCCTTATGTTCATGGCTAGCATGCTCAAATAGAGAAGATTATGACGGCATGAAAATCGTGATTTGGCTGAAAGACATGAAAGAGTCTAGAGTGCTGAAAGGTTAACCAATCACAACGCGGATTTCGCATATAGTTGCTTCCATTTGTGAAAGAAGGGTAGTATTATTAGTAGTAAAGGAAAACGTAAGAGGAAATAACTGTAAATTCATATGAAAAAAATAAGTTCATACACTCAAATAATTTCTAAAAATACTTTTATAAGTAACATTAAAAAAAATTAAATGAAAGATTAAATTACGCGGTCACGATCTCGTGGAAGACTAGACTCGCATTTTTGGTCTACCCTTGGTAGAAAAAAAATCGAGATTCATAGAAAAACATAACAAATTCTTGACAAGTTGGAAAAGGCCCCGGGGGCATGGCTGCAAAATGTGCTCAGAAATTGATTTCCATGGCGCACCTCTCAGATCTAAGTGAAATTTTGCAGGTTATTAGCTGAGACCTATATGGATCACGAAAAACCAAAATTCACAATCCCAAAGTGGCCAATCATTTAAATATTTGCATTTTAATCAGCAGTTTAAAAAGGGCGCCCTCTATTTACCAGGATTGGAAAACTGTGCACATTGTTTTATATGCTTTTGCTTGCTAAAAAGGGTCTCTATACAGAGCCAAGACTCGAAAAAAAGGAACTTTGGGTGACTTTTAATAATTATATCAAATTTTCCATCCCATTAAAATTCAAGGAAGATCAGTCTACAAGCCCTTTCCCAGTCTCAGTGCAAATATTTCCTCCTTTTGTTTTTATTTTCATTTAGAATACATGTATTGCTCCTTACTGAACTTCTTAATAGGGTATTGTTGATTATTAAATTAAAATGTTCTTTTTGTTTAAAACTACAAAGTATTCTTGACTTATGATGTAATTAAATTCAACAAAGTGTCCGACACAAATACGAATGAATATAGTCTGAATGAAAATATAAACATGACAACAGGTTTTTATAACTTCAGCCTTTGATTCATATTTATTCGTACAAAAACAATACGGTAAATGGTAATTAAAAAGACTTGAGAAATATTTACTGTGATTGGCAAAAATTATAATAAAGTGCTTGTAGTTTGTGTCTCCGGTGGAGCCAATAATAAACTGCAATTACATGTACTTTTAATTTTTTATCAGCTGTCATAAATATTAAACATGTTCTGGGAAAGACTGTTGCAACCTGACACCCTTCTTTTCTTCATATCATCTCAATAAAGGTTAGTCATTGCAAAAATGGTGAATAGACATGAATCTTGCGATGGCAAATCCATTGGCATCTGGAAAACTACATCCGTTATCTACAGCGAGTTCCGTTGTCTTAAATTCAAATCCGAAGGGTCGAAGGAGAACACGAAATATGTCATCAACCTTCAAAGAAACCGAACTGCTGTTGAGAACACGGTACAATGTATAAAATGATTGGTGAATACTTCTGTGAAACATTATACAAATATAACATGGTTTGAGGGTGGACAGTCGATATTCGCTCCCCGAGGTATTGGAAGTTGACAAACTAGTTCCCGAGGCGAAGCCGAGGGAACTAGTTTGTCAACTTGCAATACCGAGGGGAGCTAATATCGACTGTGTACCCGAAATAAACCATGTTATATTTGTTTTACTATACCTCATACATATTCAGTTGCCGAATTTTGTTTTATTATTATGCACCTAAAAAAAAATTGGGGAAACTTGTACAGCTCACCAAAAGATTCAACTTGAATTACTAGTTCGGTTCGTTTGCAATATAATACAGTTACTACAGTTGTAAATACAGTTGTTTGCAATGTGTACAACTTTCTTTTGTACAGGAGACATCTTTACACGGTCTATACATTTTCTCCAGTACGGCATCATTGAGCTCTGTAAATTAACATTTACGCAAACCGTGCGACCATGCATCTCTCCTGTGCGATGTTCGCGCGTGCGTACTGCACCCGTGCGACAGTTCCTCGATTGCTCTGTAAGAAGCATGCGCAGTAGACTGTCGCACGGGTAACCCATGCGACAGTCTACTACGCATGCGTATTTACAATGTGCGTGAATCCTCGCGCGCGTGTTTGGTAAACAGCAAGAATAACATCTGGCACGCGATGGTGAATTGACCAGTGAACGTTCGGCTCTCGATCATGAATATGTATGAGGTATAGTAATTCTCTCTAGAGAACCTAGGCAACCTAGAGAACGAGCTCTTGCATAGCATCTTGAAGGACTAGGGATAAAAAAGATCTTCTTTCCCCCCGAAAGGAATCACAGTAACAAAAAGCTCTCAAGGATGTCTTAATAAATTCTATTTGATCAACAACAAATAAGACTGTAATGTATAAACATTACCGAAGAGGAAACTGTTTTAAGCCCTTACAAATTACAAACAAAGGTCTTCAGCTTCACGGTCAGTGCTTAAAAAATGGATTGCCATAAAGGAAAACACAGGGTAAAACTATTTCCCATCCACTTGCTGGAACTGCAACTGGAAAACACCCGCAATAAAGTCAACGGTATCCATTGCAACCGTAAGACTGAAATGTGTCTCATAATTGTGTACGTAAAATTGTAAGTTCGTGAAAAACGAGTCCTATTGATTCATATTTGGAAATATTAAAGTGGGATGGGAGGCAGACTGTGTGATTCAAAGTTTCTCAAGTGACAATCTTATTCCTTATTTAGATAGACGTACGTGTATTAGTTAATCCTCGATATCGGAATCACCACTTTCGGGTGAAGTGCGCTGCCCTTCACTTGGAATGTTTTCACAGTCGGTGCACATGCACAAGTCTGTGCATGGCAGTTTATTTTTCAAGACAGAACACTTGCCTTTTGTGCATTGAATTTTTTTTACATGAGCAATGGGCAAATCATCAAAGTTCGATTACACTGTCTGGGGTAGGGGGAAGATCCATCCTGTGGATACTGATGTCATCTCTGATGATCTTCCATCCTCTTCTGTGTGGAGACTGCACTTCAGGACGTGCATCCAGGGCCCGCTTGTATATGGCTGCCTGGTAGTTAGCCCTCTTTACGTGCAGGTGCAAGGCATCCTTGTTCGGTGGCATCAACGACTCCCGATCACAGTTCCCATCTGGAACATGTTTTATCTGAAAGTTGTCAATTACGAGAAAAATCCTTATGTTTAATGACAGCAAGTTTCAATTGCGAATTGCATTTTCTTAATGTGCAACAGGCACTGCATGTTTTAACTTGAGAAATAAACATTAGCAATGAATGCATTTTTTAAAAATTATACGAGAAACAAATTCTCAGAGATTGTCAATTTTAAAGTAGGGCTTGTATTAGACTTGATGACAAATCGTATTTTGTCTGTGAATTTCAGGCGAACTCCATCGGTGCGGCTAATATAAGACTAGTACGTAATCGGCCGGGTTGCGACAAATCTAACGACTTAACGATTATGTTCTTGCATTGTTATGCAAGCAGCGCAATACATATGCAGTGCATTTCTGCAGTGAGGTCCAATCGCGCACCGAGCTGCAAATGAGGACTCATTCACTCCGTCACATGGGGAGTTCTTCTCAATACGTCGGGGACATGTTTGCAGATCGGGCGACGTTTGAACGGCCAAATCCCTCAGCTTGGTCAATCATCAAGTGTTATTTATGTCCTCATTATCATCCGGTGCATTAGAAAATATTATCTAAGTAAGAATATGTAAGAAGAATCCCCAAAATATACTTTAAAAAAAAAAATCAAAATATGGGTATGAATATAATTATTACACAGCAGGTATTAACTATTTATGCAAATTCCGCACCCTTCCAAAAAGAATTTCAGGTGTCACCCCTTCTAAATATCTTCTCTAGGGCTATAAGAATCTTGTTGCCAAGTTTGGTGCTTTGGACCAGTCGATCACGATTCCAATCATATGCCATCAGCCGACTACAGCAATTTCGAGGGGAAAAGGGTGGGGGGGGGGGGCGTGATTGGTGGGGACTGGAACTCAATTAATGCCCAGTGGGGGCGCCCTACAGCAGATCAGGCGCATTAGAAGGCCTTTTTTCAGGCCCGATATAACTCGAAGATTTGTTTTTTACCCAATTTTTTTGATGAAGTATTTAGTAATGGATCCTTCGTCTTGCCGTACAAGCGGTTTGGGAGGAATTGCAACCTTTCTTGCATATATGAATTCACGCATTGACAAGGCATTCACGTGCACGATACTAGCAATCCTTATACGACATCCCACGAACAAATCGGCATAAATACGCCCGACTAAAAATTAAATCACAAGAGGGCGCTTTCCACATTCAACAATCGGCCTATTTTCCCCATTTGTTAAACATCCATCACAGTTCAATTAAGGCTGGCCCCATACATGTCATTCAACAACACAATCAAATATGCACGACTTATAAAATTCAAACCCCAATCAAATTTCAACAAATATCCCAACCAAATACATGTACAAAACAATTCTGTCTACAATACTGATTGAAACAGGCAATATATTATGGCCTACAATATTTGCAAACATCAAAAAACAAAACTACCAATTTGAAAACAGTCTCAAGCATCCTTTGAAATCATGGCAACTGGCATATTACCACTTAAAAAAAAGGGTGAATTTTTGTATCAATTTCCAACGATGGTCGGATCGACCATCGCTGGAAAATTTTTACCAAACTTATTTAGTCCTCATTTTGTTTATAATTGGTTCATTCGTGAATGGGTGCAAGCCAGCTAGTCTGGTTGCCTGACCTCATAATTCGTCGTCTATTGCTCCATTGAGTCTGAAGTAGGGTAGGACAGACAAGAACAGCAATTTTCATGCTTTTTCCAGCATATGAACACAAACTTTTAACAGGTCTGTGTAACAATATTTTCTATGAAATGTAACCCCAAAATTAATCCTTGCATGCCTGAAAATTATACAGCAAAAGCAAATGTTGTAATAATTAATATCAGCACTTTTAAACAAAACAGGGTACACACTAAAGAAAATAGCATTTTTGATAGTGCATTTTATTTAAAAAAAAATCTGCTCTTTTCTAGTTATTTTCCCATTTTAATTTTTTTTTTTAAATATGAAAAGGGTTTCAATTACTTTGAAAGAAATATTTACACGTAAACTTGACTTATCAGCACACAAAGAAGTTTAACTTTGAATGGCAAACAACAAATAGTGGCAACAATGAAAAGTTACAAAACATTTAAAATTCTTGTATTTTTTATCATCTATATGATCTACTGCATAACTATGTTTCTCGCAAAAATGACTCAATATACATATGAATCAACAAAAAAATGTTTAAATACATTGTTATGTACATTTTTTTTCTCTTTTTCAATACTTAAAGAAACTGTATTCTCCAAATATACCCGGAAAATGCAAATTTATGGCATTTTACTTCAAAACAGAAATACAACCTAACAACAACCAAAAAATGAAAAACAATCAAAAACAGAGAGCACCCTGGAACGTTACAGGTACAATTTCAAATTAAACTAAAATAAGAGAAATATTATTAATAAAATACAATTGGTTTGTATGGTTACTGATTAATGAAACATCCCTCATACATTTAAATACTGTACACTCAATATTTCAAATCATTCAACAATGTGAATCATTCTTAATTAGGTTTATCATAATAAAATATTGTTTTATATATGATGATAAACTTTAATAATTATGTAAAGCAAATATAAAACAGAGTAGCTGCCATAATCATATGAACTAGAGGATGCAAATTACAAAACTACACCAGATATATACAATATTGACAACTTTGGTTTTTTTCAACAACAAATATGGAGCTTGCTTTTGACATACAAATCAAGGTATCATAATTTGAACCTTTAGGGAGCAGCTTACGTGGGATTCAACAAAATACATAAACACATACATTTGTGTAAAGTACCAGTACTCAATAATTGGGTACAAAAACCCCTTGTTTGTTGATATATTAACCTTTGATGTTTTGATACCGGGGTAGACTTTTATTTTCTCAATATTTACATGTATAGCCAAATGCACATAGACATATCATATATTTGAAATAAAAACAAAGTTAACAACTCTTTAATTTCCAATGTCTATGTACAGATCTCTTTCGCCAAAAAAAGCAGTATACATTCCATTTCAAAAGCTGAAAATTGATATTTTTTGTTGTGTTTTGAGGTGAAGCGGGAAATCAGTGGACCTGCGAAAATACACATGGAACTTCAATGTTACCTGTGCACATGTAGGTCTACATCTACTCAAACAAATGTACATGTAGATAGATACATGCTGTATACTGGTACACACATTCTTGTTCTGTAGTCGTGGGGAAACACTCATCGCTACGAGGTATTTGTGGGGACCGAAAACGCTGTGGGGACAGCAGAAAGTCCCCATAACTCGGTCCTAATTTGCCTAACAATAAAAACTTCCCCATAACGCAGTGTAGGCCAACTCATGAAAAACAAGTGTACTGCTTTTACTGTTGCGCAATGATGCATGTTTCAAAATAAACTGTACAGCGCTAGAAAACAATGTCAACTGAACATTTTTACATGAAATATTTACAATGTATACTATTATGGTATAACGTACATGTAGGTCAAGTACAAAATGTACATGTAAAGTTTACAATTAAATGGCAAAAGAAAAAGGCAGTCAAGTGCAATGTTTAATTGCATGTCTGCTTGGGGCATCTTCATGTACACATGTACACAAATGTAAATTCCACACCTATACATCAATGCAACAATTGTAACATGACAGACATTTATGCATTTCAAAACCCAAAACAGGTTTCTGTTTAGTTGTTTAGTAGTGAGGCCGATTTTCTACAGAACATGACTTCACTGACGATAGTTGTCTGTATGTTCAGTAGCTTAATAAACGTTCATCACCTATTTACATTCAAACTCTCCCCACAATGTTCAACAAGTCGTTGGCAATTCTTTGACTTGTTAGGCTTAGAACTCAGCAAAAACATCGGTCTTGTTTATTCTCCGCATCAACGTGGACCATTTTATTGAACATTTTGGAATGTTCACGAGCTTTCGAATTCCTGGCTTTTCCGAATGTTCAAACTTTGATTAACAGAATCAGATTTTTTTCAATGAAATCCGAGTATTCTTCTTCAACTGACTAACGCTTTCCTCTGATAACTCTTCCATAATATCACTAAAATTCAAATTAGGTTTTGCCCTTCACCGACGTTTTTATCCATCACTAAAATTGTTGAACTTTGAATTTGCATGCACAATTCAGTACCATTTGCACGACCCATCACATGAGCAGATTATCATGTTGGCCTACATGTACATGTAGCAGTTACATTGACAGTTTTATTATTATTGAAGACATGTGTGGTCAAGCAGTAGGGCTATAGCTATGTAAAAACTGCATACAGCTTCAATCCTCCAATCGTCATCATGGTCGGTTGTCCAGTCTGTTCTGGGTTGATCCAAGATCATCCATTATTCTTTTTAAATGTGGTCCTTGGAAGGGTGGCCACTGCCTCAATCCTGCAAATCGTCCAGCAATTGTCGTCAATATGTTGAGGCAGAGCCAATGACATCCTGGTTGACATTTTACATGTTTTAGGTCGCAACTGCATGTAAATTGTGAAGTTAGATTTTGTTCAATGCATCTCAATCAATTCATCACATCAATAATGAAAGACCTAAGTTTGCATACAGTCATCTAGCGGCTATGAAAATGTCAGAACCAAGCTCATCAACACACACAAAAAAAATCCAGTATGGCCTCCACGTCATCTGGAAAAAAAATGGCAGCTTCCCTGGCAACTGTGCTCATGGCAACTGTGCTACATACATCATCCTCACTGTCACTGCTGCTGCTGTAAAATGGTACAGCATCCACCATGTCCACACCATCATCCTTGACCACCATTTTTGCTAGATAAATCCAAAACAACTGAACACCCCAAACAAAGGCTGTCACACAGAATCCTGGAGCAGTGCGGAGGATTTCCAGTAAAATCTTGGCCAAGATTTAGGCACGGCTGCATGAGCATAAAAACACAAGGTCTGGCCCATGACCTTGACATAGTGCATACTCCAAAATCAGCCCCACATTTTTTGCCGTATATCCTCAATCCTGCAAAATCCTCCGTTTTGCAAGGATTTTGCAGGATTTAGAAAGTTGTATGTATGGTTATTAACAACATACCTTAATGTAGGTCAACACAATTTCATGAACCTCAACTCTTAATCCAAAATAATCGCAGTTTAATTCACACTTCAAAATGCTGTACATGTAGTTGACCAATGCACAGTCCGTGCGGATTGTCACAGATTCAGTGTATCTCCAATAAAAGTGTTCTCACAGCTTTTCAAGACCAGTTGTATCAACAACCACCTTGATGAACATTGTGTCGTCCTTGACGTAGCTGTTGCTGGCCATCAGCAGCTCCTGGGTCACAAAGAGTGGGCAACCGGAGGCGATGTTCATGTCGCTGCTCGGCTTTTTAAAGGAGTTGCTGGTAGGATCCGGACGGAAGGCATCCACGATATGATCCCGCTTGTTCTGATCCAGGAGCATGAAAGTGACCTTCTGCTGGAAGGGCCACGGCAGGAGGGCGTCATGGCGCCCCCGCATGACCACGAAGAACAGCGACATGTGGGTGTGCTTGCCCATACCGTCGCCGTTCAGGTACACCCTGGCCGACATCTTGTAGCCGTGTCGGCTGGTGTAGAAGACCGGGGAGTAGAAGGATGTTGTCTTGCCGGAGACGGCATCCTGACGACGGCGATTGTACTCGCTAATACGCCACAGCAGGACACCGTCAAAGGAGGCGGCCTCCAGAGCCTGGATGCGTAGTTCCTGTTCAGCGAGGGCAATGTTCTTCAATGTCAGCATCTGATCCTGGGGAAAAGAATGGACCTTTACATGTTTAAACATTTCCACAAATCTTAATCCATTTACAGTTTTTCCAAAACAGGCCGACCACCGTTAGAAATTTATACAAAAATACCACTTTTCTTGAAATTGACTTCACACCAGGTGCCATAATTTTACAGGATGCTTTAGACTGTCATTTACCAACATCCTATAAGATATTTTGTAAAAATTTGGTAGTTTTGTTTTTAGATGTTCGCCAATGTTGTATATTCCCTTTAAAACAAAACTTGAATCTTAAAAAAGTGAACTAGGGCCTACATCTACGTTTACACATTCTTCATTTTGAGCTAACACATTCATAGCAAAATTATACTTAACATTTTCAAGTCTCTTCAATTTTACAAATCCTCAGAAGTACTGCAGTAGGCCTACTTGATTACATTCTGGGTACACACAGTTTAGATTGTACTTTTTCAGTGACTGCCCGCTATTTATCACGTCAATTATTGTTGATTTTTAATGTCACTCACGACGGTCTGCTGATACACAACAGTCAAACGATTCTCAAAATATTTGCTAAATGTTCAACAAAATTAAACGCAAAATCACATCCTTACCTGGGACTGAAGTCGCTTCTCCTGCCTCTCGGTGACCTCCTTCAGGTAGGTGTTCTGCTTCTCAAGCGCCATGGCCTTGGCATGCAATGCCTCCAACTCATTACTGAGGACGGCCAGGACCTGTTGGTAGGTCTCAGTGCGCTGATCCAGGACCGCGATCATGGCATTGGTGTTTTTAATCTTCTCGGCCCATTCTCTCTCCAGCTTGGTTGCTAAGGTATTCTCCAAGTCTGCCTTCTGTTTCTTCGTCTCTTTACGCAGGTTTGTGATCTCATGCTGCAAGGCAGCGACGTCAACGGACCCATGAGCGCCGCTTTTCTTCAGTTTGGTCTCTGTTGGATCGTCAGCTTTGAAGACGAGTTGCTCTTTCAACAGCTCTGCCAGTTCTTTGAGTGTTGCCTCAGGCAAACTTGAGGCAGACCCTTTGATTTTGAAGACATCTTCCAAGCCGTTGTGCAATGGCTGCGCTCCGCCGTTTTTGTCCTTGGGCAGAGGACTCGAGCCGATAGCATCAACGATCATCCGGTTGTGCTCCATCGCGTTCTTGTTCATGTGGTCCTCCAAGCCGCTTGCGACGACCTGAACAAATCAACAACAGAAACAGAGAGAGACGGAGAAAAGAAAATTGTCAGAACAAAGACACATTTATGAAGATTTGAAATTATGTTAGTCTGTACAAAACCAAAATTAACTAAGTAGGCCTATAGATTGTTTGCACTGCGGCCATGTTTGAGGCAAGTGCATTTGTTCATCAGCGATATGCATGAGTAAACTCTTGCGCATTAATTGTTAATGAATGAACAAAGCACATGTCAAAGAAGAATGCAATGGATCAATTGACACTGCTGCATTGTCACTCAATATCATTGATTTATTTATTTATTTCTTGTTTATCCTGGGGAGAACTTTTGGTGGAACGCTATTTTTCAAAGGAGCCCAGCAGTAACAACAAACATACGATAGTATAAAAATAGAAAAACAAGCAATAAAAACATTACAAAGATATAATTAAGAAGATTAATAAACAGTAAAATGAGACAATTATCACGGTTGTTACATTGGCAGTAAAAATATTGCCAAACAGTTCCGAGATCTGTCATACTAGGACAATGACAAAAATTGTAACTAATGAAACTTCATTGTCTTGTTCATCACCAAAAAGTTCCTGATGTTTTGGTTGACATTTTACATGTTTTAGGTCGCAACATGCATGTAAATTTCTAAGTTAGACTTTGTTCAATGCATTTCAATTGATTCATCACATCAATAATGAAAGACCTAAGTTTACATAAAGTCATCTTCCTGCTATGCAAACATAGAATCAATATACTGATAAAAAAATTGGATTGGCCTCCACGTTATCTGACCCAAAATGGCGAACTGTGCTCACGGTAAATACATACTTCTTCCTCACAGCTTTCACTGTCACTGCTGCTGTCACTATAAAATGGTACAGCATTATCCTTCATGTCCTTAACACCCATTTTTAGATCCAAAATATCTGAATGACAGATGTCAACAAAGCACTGGAAACCAAAACACTTCTCCGGACGTTCTTTCTACAAACATTAGAACGGAACACAAACATAGACTTCCCTTTCTAGTGCATTGTGGGTAGGTGGAGATTGGGGAACACCAACACATGGGGGCGCGATATCGAACGACCGCAAAGGAAGTAGAGACGTTGAACAGCATATGCCACTCGTGCACTACTGAACACGACACAACAAACACGAAATGAAACCGCAATGCTAAGGGTCAGACAACACAACGTGAACACGTGATTTTACCACTACAAAGACGGAAGTGTACTCGTTTCCTCAATGAGAGACTAAAGGCCATACAATTCACTGGGTAAGTAAGATAAATAATTCTATATTTAGGGTTTGTAAGCACGCTCCCTGTGGGGCAACACGTACACATGGCAAAGGTCGAGAACAAAACTTTAAATCCGGAAAAAAAATCCCTGTTGAAAAGTGTGCCTAGTTCGCGTAATGACGAGACATAGCACAGATTGCAATGCAATCAAGTTCTAGATCTCGACCAAAAAACAGAAATCTCTAGGGTGATTTTCTACATGAACCCATTTAAACACAAATTGTGTCACTAAATCTTTTCATCATGAGTCTGACAGTGACTTAAAGAAAATATTATGCAACATTTGCAAAATTCCAAAAAACACAAAACTACCAAATTATTATGAAATACATAACTGGACTGTTACTAGCTGAATGACAGTCTAAAGCATCCTGTAAAATCGTGGCACCTGGTGTGCTGACATTTTCGAGAAAAGTGGTATTTTTGTATCAATTTCCAACACTGGTAAGCCAAACAACGTTGAAAAAAACCCCAGGCTATTTTCAAACACTCCCCCCACTTTTATTACATTTAGTTAGTCTGAATTTAGTTTGCAATCAATTACACACCTATGAACGGGTACAAGGCATCAGCTAGACTATTCCCTGACCTTACCATTCCCCGACATCTCAAAATTGTTCGATGATAATCAAAATTGTTCCATTTTAATTTAAGTTGGGTCAGTAAACAGACTACAAGAACTTGTTTTTCTTGTTTTTTGTTCATCATCTATGCAAACATAAAACTTCAAACAAGTCAGTGTAACAATAGTTGCTATGAAAATACTAACCCCCAAATCGTCTGAAAACTACAGCAAAATCAAATGTTGTATAATGTATTTCCCTCTAATACTTTCACAGTGAGATCAAAAGGCAAGAAAGCTGGACTTCAAATTTATTTTCCCCATTTATCCAGGATTTCTGTCGAACTTGTCATGGCATTTTCAACAATTTTTGATGCCGTCAATTTCTTGATATATATATGGTGAACTTAATTTCCTGCTCAAAAGCTTATGAAATGTAGGAAAAAATATTCTTATTTACTGCGAAGGGAAACCCCCCTCACGTGGCCATACTGGCGGGAAATGAGTTGCCATATATGGGAACACCATTCTAGCCGTGTGCGATTCCCGCCGTGTGGGGTCATGTGCCAGGGGTTTCCATAGCAACAATCAGTTCGTCACAAGAGGGGGCTATATTATATGCTAAGTGCAACACAAGCTGCCTATCAATTTGTATGGACGGTCAAAGTTCATGTACATGTGTATTATCATAGTCCACAAAGCATGAGCGATCTATTCACAACTGAAAAGCCTACCAGCAGGTGCAAGCTAGCCATAGTGAATAGCGTGGGAAGACACTTAAAACGTCGATGGTTTTACATGTAAACTCATTATTTTTTTCTGAAACGGGTGTTTAATTGAATTTTAGAAAGATATCTTTTGGATCAATACAAGCTTTCAACCTTGTTCTTCAATGATCTAAAAAAATAGTCCAGACTATACATGTACTTACATACATTATAGTACTTACATTCATGTATAAAACATACATGTACACGTAAAACATGCATATACATATAATTCTTGTATACATCTATTATGCCTGATGATGAGGAATAATTCATAGAACCAAGAAAGTGTCGCATGCAGAATATACATGTATGTCAACACACCACCATTTTAAGTTTAAATTCATGTCACACACAGTTCACTGAACACGGTTTTGTTAAAGGGGTGTTTTCCTCCGAAATGCCATCAAGCAGGGGAAAATTCATGCATGAAATGAAACAAACAAAAATTGAATATATACAACTTTTCATACGTATACGTATGAACTACCCACGTATGCTGTAGTTTTCATTATTAATACATGTACACGTACAAGTAGACGCCATTTGGTTGGCATATGATAATCATATGAACTTTGATTTTTAGTATTAATTATCGATAAAAACAGCTGCATTTTGCATATCACCATGCATGCTAAAGTTTAATCTATGTGGGAGATTGTGTAAAACTATATTTGCGGTCTAATGTTAAAATTTGCAACACAGCTGGTTATAAAGTGCTGACGTGGTGCTGCTGATTTAGAAAAACCAGTAAATTCACATGCACATGACACACGGAAATTCAGTGTTTTTTGTTAGTTTTAACAGCACACATGCTGGGAAGGTTACAACAAAATGCATGCCTGAGGGAAGTTGTATGGAATTCCATTCGCATTCAAAGAAAAAAACGTAAGCCAAATTCTGTATATTCTATTGCTATTTTCTTTCAATTGATCGAGTTCCAATACAATGACGTTTTTTGGTGTCAAATTTACAAGGATATGACCTTTATGAACTACTGACTACTTTGTGCAAGACACTTTTTCAGCCGAAAATACAGAAATGAAGTGTGGATAGTGCAGAACATAAAAGTAAAAAAAAGTGAACATTAAGTTAAATTTGATTTATAACATAGCGTCAATGCTGACAGTTTATCATAAACAAACATGTCCTTTATATGCAATAAGTAAAGCACATGGGGGCGGGCATACATCGGTCTCCATATAAAGGCCAGAGGGCATGAAACCTGGCATAACAGATGGCACGAAAACATGCCAAATTCAATAACAAAAACACGCAAAAAAGAAAACCCACATACCTTTGCGTTGCAGCCGAGTGGATGAAAAACACATTTTGCTTTCCTCTTAATGCAGTCTCCAGTGTCAGGATTTAAATGTTTCTCCATCTGTGGGAAAAAGAGAAACAAAAATAAATTAAAATGTATTTAACTTTGGCCCTTTGACTACAAGCATAAACCACTTTTAATCTATTAATAACCCTTACCCCCTATGCCCTTTTTGTTAATCCTTCATCCTCCAAAATCCTTCAAAATTTTGCAACAGCACAAATTCTTCAAAACTGTCAGACAGTCAGCTGCCTCAAAATGCATTCATCGACAGGCTCCAAAATCATCCTCATCTCAAAATTTTGCACTCGTGTTTAAATGAAGGATAACCAACGCCTAATCCTTCAAAATCATCAGACAGTCCTGCCTCAAAATGCATTCATCCTCAATCCACAATCATCCTCTGCTTCAATCAGCATTCATCCTCAATCCTCCAGAATCCTCCAAAACTGCAAGGAGGATTTTGGAGGAGTGAGGAGGGTTAGGGCTGTTTCTTTACCCAAGTACCGTAAATGTACTCTTAAAAAAAAAACCCCTAAGTTCAGAACATTTCCCTGTTGGTTTCTCGGCAACGATGACCTTGACTGATATTGAGCTGAAAGGTTATTACATTTTGCAAAAAACAAAACAAAGTAAAAACAAAACAAACACTTTTCACCCTTTGACTTAAAAACAATCTGTCATTTTCCAAGCAAATTTGAAATCAAAACTTTTTCAAGCCAAAAAAAAAAAAATTCACCCATTCATTTTCCAGGTAATGATTCTTTTGAATGGCTGATGGAATATAATTGTCAAGGCTGTCATTTTTCAAGCAAATCCTCAATTCAAATTTCAAGCCAAAAAAAAAAAAAAAAAAAGCATCATCCATAATTTTTTTTCTAAGCTCAACCAGGTACTGATTTTTCTTATTATCTAGGTTCCCTGTTGGTATAAATGCTTGCCAAATTTTTTTCTTCTGAAAGTAACTGTTCCAAATTCCATTCACGGACTTTGAACTTGATGTCCATGAGAGGTATGGACAGAGTCTTACACTGAAAGTTACGCAAAAGAACGCAAATCAGCGAGGCGTGAAAAGTGGGTTACGTGTATGTTGGAGACACCTTTGATCTCACTTGGTTATTGTTCTGGGTGGTAACATATATTGTGAGTGACAGTACTTGCATGTGCATGTATTGTATAAAAGCTACATTTAGGTGTATGATCTTCACACTAGAGGCACAACCTGAACTGTTGAGACCTGGTCTAGGAGTTAAGTCATGCCGAGTAGCTATGTAAGTACATTAGTTTTGTTGTTTTCTTTTATAACAGGTCTTCACTATTCTCTTACAACAATGAAAGTCAATAGTTATTTGTCTGCAAAATTGAAATCTCGACTTCTCAGACATGTGGACTATTATTTTTAATGTTCATTCCTCTTCTTTGTGCTAACCCACACTCCTCAGTGCAGCACCGTGGAGTTTAATGTTCAAAATGCTTTGATTGTTCTGAAAAGGAAGCTAGATCAAAATGGACGACATCTACCTTTAGTGTTTCGGACCTTGAATTGATTAGCAAAGGATATTGCTCATCTGCGATCTGACGCATGCTGAGTCATATCCATCTAGTGGTCCTCTTTCATGGAGTGTTTCAAAGGGAAGGGGGCCAGGGAAGGGGGCCAAGGAAGGGGCAGGGGAAGATGGCCGGGCAGGGGTGTCGAAGATTTAATGATTACCTGAGAACGTGCCACACGTTTCCCACAATTGCATGTTACAGGGCTATCAGGGCATTCTGTAGTATGTTTCTGTACAGGAAAAAACGGATCGGGTTAGGATTATTTTGTCGGAAACACTCTTCCCTAAAATTATAATGAAACAGCAAAGTGTTTCAATAAAACATTTATACATATATACAAAATACAAAGGCTATACTTATACATCCGTGTTTCAGTTCTGAAATTACTAGGCGCTGAAAGAGAAACTCAACGAGGAAATGTATGGATTTGTTTATACATATCTCATATCAATCAAAAAGCAACTAAACCTGACAACTGCTTAAAATAACAGAGGGAAATTTCCTTGCCTGTAAAATTAAAATCATGATTGGGTGCACATGTATACAATGTATTATTATCCGAGTTACATCAAATGAGGAAATATAACTGCACTGTCATGTGTCCTCATCAAACATTAAATTAAAGCATTAAACAGTGTACTAAATGTTTTGTATTTACCCCCAAATTACCCACGTCTCATAATGGTAAAATTCTAAACTCGGCAGTTCCTTAGTGTCTGACGTACAGTTTGGACAATTTAAGCCTAACGTCCTAGCCATTACTTTGGGATTGAGGAAGTGAGTACTACAGAATACTATGAGTGTTGTGAACACTTTTATACTACAGTTTACTAACTAGCTTTAGGTGAGGTTAGGGCTAACAGTGTGCATATAATAAGGGTGTGACTTTGCGTTTAATCGTGTAAACTTTTGCAAATATTTTAAGAACGGTTTCAACGTTTAGCCATTTCACAAAGGCCGAGGCCTGCCCATTATGTCTGCAGACTGCAGTTGAGAAATCAACAATGATTGACATAAATAGCGAGCAGTCATCGAAAAAGTCAAAACTAAACTACATGTACCCCGAATGTAATCAAGAGTGCGGTGCTTCTAAGGTTTTGTAAATTACATGGGCTTGAAACATCGTTGATTATTTGTGCTTGGTAGGTTTAACCTAAAGGAATATCGTAAGAACATAGGACTATTTTTTTTTACAATTCTGCTGTCGTTTAAACATTTTTGGAATATTTTGTAAACAGACATAGATTTTTTGTTTAAATGTGTAAACGTCACATCCTTAGTGCATAATGAAAGTTTCAGTTAGTTAATACAATATTTCAAGGAAGAAATAATTCATCAAATTTTTCGCTGTTGTAGAAATTGGTTGAAAACAACACAGTGTTAGACAAACTTAGACATATTGATTTTTTGACACTTAGACAAACTTAGACATATTTTTTGACACCAACATTGTTAATATATACTGAATCAATAAAATACAGACAATAAAATATATCATGTTTCATTTGTGGCATTTGGATTTAATTGTTTTTTTGTTGTTGTTGTTTAATTCTCTTGCTGGAGCGAGCACCTTTAATGTTTAATATCCAGTGGCTGTATGGAATGTTTCCATGACAACATGTAATTTGAGCCACCCGACCCTCACAACCAGCCCATTCACCCCTGATTAACCTCTGGCATGTCTGGAGTATCTCTCAGGCCCCAAACAGCCGTTAAAACCACAGACATAACCCCATTTGACATTCCATTTTGGTCACAGGGGTGATCGAAATAATCCCAATGTATATAGTGCATTTGTACACAAGCCTATGTAAATGTGCACAAGCTTACAGGGTTTTCCCGCCAATTTCCAACCCCTCCAGTAGGATCACAAGACTGACACCCCCTCTGGTGGATGTACCTTGGTCCATACTGGGATCTAGTGATACATGGCCCCTTCCTTCCTTGCCTTCCTTCCATGGAGTGCAGTCCTCAAAAAATGAGTATAGTCACACTGTGGTGTGTGTGTGAATGTGTGCAGGTGCAGTATGTACAGATGGGCAGAGGTGGGTATACCAGGTGGGTATACCACGTGGCCAGGACAATATAAAACATAAAAATGTGAATAGTTGGTATTCCCAGGTGAATCCAGAAATTGAAGTTTATAGCTCTGTGGATTTACTCCTGACTAACTTATTTTCGTTTTACCTTCGCTTCCTTGTAAGGCAGTTGTTTTTTACAAAATCTGCACTCAATGACTCGCATGGGGCATTCCCTCTCCAGGTGGTGAGACAGGTCGCCTCGTTTTAAAGTTTTTCCACATCCTGACTTCAAGCATTTGATTCTTTCAAACGGACATGATGCTTCGTGCTCCTGGAAAAAAATAAAATGGATAAATTTAATGAAGAACGCTGATTGAAAAAAAAAAATGTTCAAGACTTCATGTGTCTGTAAATGCATCAATGCAGAAAAATCCTTTTTAGTTTGAGGATTAATTTCCAATAAACAAACAACCCAATAGACAAACATAAACTAAGAAACAAAACAAACAACTGAATCTTACCTGACAGTATTCCTGTAACTTTCCCGTCCAGTTGCAGCCTTCATTTATGCATTTAACAGAAGCATTTCTGAGATCTTTCCGAGCAGCATAATCCGGGTATAACTGAAAAAAAAAGCAAAAAAAAAAAAGGTCACAAAATTCACACTTAATTGTTTCGTACTCATGCAAAAAAGAAGAAAAAGAAAGAAGAAGAGGTACAAAGTCATATTGCTGTTAGTTTAATGTACATTTAACAACATGGGCACCTGCAGGGGTGTCAATGGGGTGGGGTGGGCAAATGTCCCACCCCAACACCCACCCTCGAAAAAATGATAAATTGAGAATATGCTAGAGGCTAGAAAGTACAAAAGATTTTTGGAAATAATGTGCTTTGCCTGCCTCTAGAAAAAAAATTCTGGCGACGCCAATGCAAGAGGGAGATAAGATTCAAATTAATAATATGATTTATGGTTGGTGCTTAACCTTGCTCTCTAATAGTTTATGATTCCAATGAAACCTATTTTTTTTCCCGACGAACCATTCTATGTTTTTATCTTGCGGAAGTCAAGGCTGTGAATTGTATTCAGCATATGTAAATGTTCACAGATGAGATAAACATGCTTTCAATCCAGTCCACTTTTCCCCAATTTTTATTATACTGTATTTTTTAAGAGTATGAGTTCAAGTACTTTGCCACGAGTACGAGTACGAATACTTTGCCACGAGTACGAGTACTTTGCCTGTTTGCCACGAGTACGAGTACATGGAATTTGTTTCTTGCGAGTACGAGTACGAATACGTTTTCACAAGTAAGAGTACGAGTTCAAGTACGAAAAAAAGTACTTGAGTACGAGTACAAGTACTACAATACTGCTCATTTGTTAGGTGAATATCCTAACAAATTGACTGTCAAAATGATAACGTCACCACATATTTTGGTAGTACATTTGTATTCTAAATGGACATTGTGAAGTGTACAGATTTTTAGAAAGCACACAGCATCCAATACAACCATGAAGTGACACTATTGAAATCACCGGAAAAAAATTCTCCAATTTCTAAAATATCCCTGAATCTTATCACATTTGACATTCTTGGGAATTTTGCTACCATGCATGTTTAACATTGTATCTTTTTGCTAGACAAAAAATGTCATGATAATGTTGCTTTTGCCGGGATTCAGCAAAACATCATTAAAGGGAAAATACAACATTTGCAAACATCAAAAAATAAAACTACCAAATCATTTTGAAATACCTTGCTGGACTGTAAGTGAATGACAGTGTAAAGCATCCTGTAAAATCATGGCACCTGGTATACTGTCATTTTCAAGAAAGTGCTATTTTTGTATCAATTTCCAACGCTGATCGGCCGATCAGCGTTGGAAACAACTGGCTTTTTTCCCCAAATACTGGCCCCAATTGACCATCGCACTTGTTTGCAATCGATTACAAACCTATGAACGGGTACGAGCCAGCTAGACTGGTTCCCTGACCTTACAATTCCCCAATGTATGTAAACTGCTGTTTCTTCTTATATGGAGTCAGGGAACCAGACTACAGGAAAATGATCGTTTTTCTTGGTTTTTATAGCATTTTCGAACCCAAAACCTCAAAAAAGTCAGTGTAACTATATTTGCTATATATTTCCAACCCCCCAATTCCATCCATTTCTGAAAATTACAGCAAAAGCAAATGATGTATATTCCCTTTAACATTCTGATTACATATCCACTCAATACGATGACGCATGCAGTCTCCAACTGCTGTGACTACCCGGGGTACATGTTATGCATTATCGAGTCCAGGATGGGAATGGCCATGATTAGATTTTATGCTAAGTGTGCAAAAGCACGCAGCATGAATGTCATGTACTTGAGCACATACATGTAGTCCACTGTGACCGTCTTATGTACTGGCAAGTATGCAGCAAACTATTGAAAGCATGTTCCATTTTGAAAAGGTTAAAGGGAATATACAACATTTGCTTTTGCTAGAATTTTCAGAAATGAATGGATTTAGGGGTTAGTATTCGAGAGCAATATTGTTATCGGCCTACTGACTTGTTTGAAGTTTTTGGTTTGGCGATGCCAGAAAAACCAAGAAAAACAAGCATCTTCTTGTAGTCTGGTTCCCTGATGGTACCCCCCCCCCCCTTTAAGATGAAAGGAGCAATTTATAGACATCAGGGACTTGCAATTAAGGTGTTCGCAGGTGTGTAATCGATTGCAAAGAAAATACGCACTGACTAAATATGATAAATTGGGAGCACTATTTGAAAAAAGACAGTTTTCCAATGCTTGTTAGCCTGCCAGCGTTGGAAACTGATACAAAAGTACCACTTTTCTTGAAAATGTCAGCACACCAGGTGCCATGAATTTACAGAATGCTTCAAAATGTCATTCACTTATAAGTTATAGTCCAGCAAGATATTTTGGTAGTTTGTTTTTTAATGTTTGCAAATGTTGTATAGTATTCCCTTTAAATGTCTTGACATTTATAAACAATCCTGCTACTGGAATGACTGTCATGTTTGCATTTGTTGTGTCAATATATTTCCATCCATTAACCTTTAAAATGGAATTCAAGGAACTACATGTAAAAGGATGTGGAGCAATGACGAACGAGTCAATTTACAAAAAAAATTATTACAGTCTGCAAGCAATGCATGTTCTTTAATAATATGTGAGGGTATTTGAACACATGTACATCAACAAATGCCATACCAACCTCATCTATAATCCCTTCTGAGGAATCGTCTGGGCAGGAAGGACATCTCCGCTCCGATTCGCTGAAAGAATTTTTTAAAATGGTATCATAAAGAAGATAAATATGGAGAACCCCCAATTTGCAGTTTAGTATTAACTTAATTTTTTAATAACTCTAAAACATTTGTAGGTCAACAAATTTTATATATCATAAAGTTCTTCATTCAAACATAGGTACATGACATGATGACCAAACCCTTTTTAAATGAGATAAACCTTTGACCAAAAATTGCGTAGCCAAGCACTAGCCCCAGTAACAAGAACCGATCTGTTAAATATTCGCAACCCCCTTTAGGGGTATAGACAGCCTTTGCCTGGCAGGGCAGGGCAGGGCAGGGCAGGCATATCATCCTGTCACCAACCTTCAGTAGCAGAACTCCAATCCTTTGAGAGGAGTGCATACCTATGTTCCCCAATACTGATGTTCCCCGAAATCCTTACCCTTACTCTAAACTAAGGATTTCGAGAATGTCGGTATTAGGCCCCCCCCCCCCCCAAAAAAATTTGGTCTCTGGTCAGACCAAAGTTCTACGGCGACTCGGCTTTTTTCTTTTTCTTTTCTCTTCAAGCTTTGATTGTACACACAAGGTGGGGTACTATTTTGCTTTTTTGGTGTCCTCATGTACAATGTACATTGGTGTCCTCCATAATTTGCCTCGGTGCTCTCGATCATTTGCCTCGGTGCAATTTCCCATTCCTTGGTACTCTTTGGTAAAAAAAATATGAGGAGGTGCGGCAATAGAGGGCACTGTTGGAGCTACCGCGGAACAATTTGGAAAAAAAAAAGATTGACGCACATGATTAAAATCGACGCCCGCGCTGACCAGAGACCGACTTATTTTTTTTTTGGCCTTTGGGAACGTAGGTATTGGGGAAAATCTTGTAAATCCCCTTTGAGATAACACCCCAAACCCTCTCAATTACATTGTTGTTCAGGCATTTTAGTCTAAATACCCAGCGTACAACAAATTGTAGTGCTAGGATGAAACTTTAACCCTTACTCTCTGAGGGTAGTTTACTGCATGTCAGTTGGTTATGCCAATGCCCTCCAGCTGCAGCTTATTGGCAGATAGTTGGTCTTAACAGTGAAGGCTCCAATTGGCAGGAGTTGGAGGCCCTGGAGGGTGCCTGATACTGACCAGCTGGGGGCACTCACTTTGTTATCAGAGGACTCTCATTGTTCTCTGTGGCATGTATTGGAGTGCCTGTCCAGTTACCCTTGAAATGACATGGCAGATATTGGAGGGCCATGCAAAAAGCATAGGAGATTTTCTTGAGGCACATATTGGCATGCGTTGGAGGGTCTAGTAGGGTAAGGGTTAATCCTGCAATATCTTCCAACTGCTTCCATGTAAAGATTGCATACGCTCAATCCCGCAAAATCCTCTGTTATTTCTTGAATGTGGTCCTTGGAGGGGTGACCACTGCCTCAATCCTCCAGCAATCAATATGTTGAGGCAGAGCCAGTGACATCCTGGAGCAGTGCCGAGGATTTCAAATATAAACCTAGGCCTAAATTAATGCAAGGCTGAGCATAAACAATTAACACAAGGTCCAGCTTAAAGGAAACATGCAGTGGAAATTCAACTCATCTTGTTTTCATGCACATTACTATGTGTTGCAACAATACATACAAGATCATACTTGTTTTCATTGGAAGTGACAAGAAAGAGGTGTTTTTTTTTCAATTGTTAGCAAATCCTTTTATCAATACATGTAAGAGGGCGCTATTTTGCTTTTGTCACACAAGGTACTCCTTGTCAAAAGTGCATACATATAAACAGTACAAAAATTCAAAATTACCCACAAAAAAGTTTTGAAGAAATATTGGCCACTACTCTTGTCCAAACAAGCTGTTTACTATGATAACAATTAAAAAGTTGAACTTACTCCAAGAAAATGAAAAAAAGTCAGAAATATATTTGTACACAAAGATATGGAGACATCCTTCTGTTCTGCCTTGAATGACATCACGCTTTGGCTCATGAATATGGAAATTTTCATTAGCATACAAACTAAAATGTTGAAATTTTTCCCTTTTACTGCTACAAAGGAGGTGGAAAGTCACAAATACTTGGCAAGAAAGCTGTTTCAAATGTATTTAAGTCATACAAATCCTATTACATGTTCCCTTTAAGACCTTGACACAGTGCTTCCTCCAAAATCAGCCACACATTTTGTCATATATAGCCGCAACCTTGCAAAATCCTCCATTCTGCAAAGAGGATTTTGGAGGATTTGGTAAGGCTAGGGTTAAACATGATAAAACGGAGTGGTGTTATGCAACGGAGGGTTAAATTAATTAATGTCACAACTGAAATTGAAAAATCCTCTTACTGAAGATGGTGGGTGCATCAATGTTGACATCTTGACACTCTTCAAATGTTTAACAGAATAAACATAAATGGTTAGGTATGTAAACTATAATGTAAAAATATTTATACATGAATCATAATTTGTAAACTACAATATAGTTCAACTTTTTAAAAATGATTTATACATTACAACTCATGAACTTCTTTCAAAACATTCATTGAATAGTTAGTTCAATAGTCTTTGCCTAAATTCCAAAAAGGCAAAGCCTAAACATAACCAACAGGGTAAATCTAATTAATTCACTTTATTTCTATAAAATGTAAATGATTAATTGAAGAATTATTTTTAATTGTACATTTTAATAAGGAAATAATTTGATAGATCCCTGACCCCACTTAAGATGAAACAGAGTAATATATATACTTTGGGGAATTGTAAGGTCAGAGAATCAGTCTAGCAGGCTTGTACTCCTTTACAGGTGTGAAATCAATTGCAAAGAAATTGCAGAATAACTATATTTTAAAAATTACGCACAGTTTTTTCTTAAAATGTCAGCACATCAGGAGTTACGATTTAAAGGATTTTATGCTATAAACTGTCATTCCCTAGCAATTCAGTATTATGTCGAGATAATGTGATCATTTCGTTTTTGGATGTTTGCAAATGTTGTTTCTTCCCTTTAAGGACTTAGGCTATAGGAATGCTACACCTGTCAAAATGCATGTTATTGCACTACATATTTCAGGGTGCCCAAAAAAGGACAAGGATGTTGATTTAAAACTTGACACTACAATATAGCTACTGCTGGGCATTATTTAGGGTTGGGTAAATTTTTTTCGAAAAGGATGTGAGATAAGCTTACTTTTTAATCTTCTCCTTGATGCAGCTTTCGCAGTATCGGTGACCGCAAGGACTCTGCACTGCGTCCCGAAACACCATCAAACAAATGCAACACAGAAATCTTTCTGCAATCGATGGCTCCCGGAAAAGTTCCTTCGAATGGCCAGGCATACTGATTGATTGCAAAGACTACGCAGTGTTGTTAGAGAAAAGACTGTAGGTAGTATTATCACTTTGAATTCCTTCACGTGATTTCAGCTATATAAGCCAAGAGAATTGAAGAATGTCTCACAGGAATGTACCGGTATGCAATGACATGCTCTGTCTTCTCATGCTTGTGGCGTGATGCAATGAACTTGATAAAACACTGCTGTGTCCTATATTTCATATGTCCCACATGTAGATCTCAAGATTTCCATTTTAAGAAAGTCCCTGCAACAGAGTGGAAAAAGAAAAAAGAAAAAGTGAACATTTCACAACCTGAATCCAACTGCCAACTTCATACATGTACCTGTATCTGTAGGCTGGTTACGTTGCAGAAACATTAACCCTAACCACCCCAACTCCATCAAAATCCATTCCCCCATTTTGGTGGATTTTGGGGACTTGGTCCAGAAGGCCTGGCGTGACTAAATATTGATGGAGTATGATGGACTCGGGTCTAATGGCCTGAAGCAGTGCTAGGGGTATCCGATAGATTTTGCCTACAGTAGCGTCCTGTACTGCTATTGCGACAAAAGCCATGTGTAGCAAGTCCATGAATGTCAACCAGTGCGTCAGTGGTGGATTCCATTATGTCATGTGCAGTTTTGTGTTGGACGCACAGTGATTGATGGATTTTGATGGACTTGGTCCAGTTCCTAGTAAAAGACGCTAGGGAGTTAGGGTTAATGCATTATCGCAATGGAGCCTGTACTCAAGGCACTGGGAGTTATGTCTATTATTAGATGAATGAAGTACATGAGACATATGAGACCGATTATGTAGCACCTTATAAGGGTTTACATGGTGCTGCAGCCACTGCAAGGACACCTGGGCGAACCCCTTCTCTTGGCGACAATTGTTACTGGGTTCTTTAACGTTCATTACACAACACACGGGACCTATGGCTTCACGTCCCATCCGAAGGACGAAGCAAGAATGGTTAAGTGCCTTGCTTAAGGGCACAAGTGTCCGCCGGCGGGCTCGAACAAACTTGTGCGAGTGCACAATAAGCTCTGGCCGTCTTGCATGAAAGTCTTGCATGAAATTGATCAAAACGATCCCTGGCAGAGCTGAAAAATGCGACGCCAATGGCACATATGGAACACCACACTTTTGGTCAATTTTCTGGGGACACACAGACAGACCGATCTACCACCAAGCGTCATGTACGAAGCTCCTGCCAGAGCTAAAAAAAGTGACATCACAATGACATCATCAGCTTTTAACTACAAGTAAAAGCATGACAAGAATGCCAGTGCAGCAAACAAAAAACAACCAAAAAAAACTAAAACCAGTTACCAGCTAGCCCTATTCTATGGCCATGTAATGATGGCATTTTGCATGGAAATAGTTTGGACTAAAAGTAATTCTCGGCATGGGCATAATGAGGGTTCTTTAACCCCAGCATCCCACTCTTACAACCAAATTAGGACTTTCCAATGGTTCTTTTTGGCGAAATATGTCTCTTAATTTGCCACTCTTAATTTGCATAAAATTGTCAAATTCTGTGCATTTCTTCCACTTGGGTTGGCAAATGAAATGACAAATTTCACCCGAAGGAACCATTGGGAACTTGTCCTAAATTTGGTGGAAAAGTGGGATGTTTGGGTGAATGATCCCCCATGCTGAGCATCATGCTGAAACATTTCCATGAAAAAAATGTCATTTGACTTTTTGTGTTCACACTTGTTCGTGGCCATAGAATACGGGATTGATCATGTTACCACTACCAGCTGGCTGTTTTATGGCCTATCATGGTTTCTGTTTAGAAAGAGTGTAGTCTCATAAATGTGGCTCAAATACTAGAGTACTTCCTCCGTATTTCGATTTGAAGTTGAACCACACAGCAAATATGTGAGGAAATTGAAATCAGGGCTGGTTTTTTTTTTCAGGTAAGCCTGATGAGCATGTCAGCGGGAGTTACTTAGGCTAATAATGGCGATCATGTATCTACTGGCCCTTTCTTAGTATAAGGGAACAAGGGAACACTTTTAAATTATTTGACCCATCAAACTAGTTGATGACATTAAGAACACAGGCAAGGCATGTCATAGAAAAAGGGCAGTGTTTTGAATTTTGAGGGAAAGTTGCTAGTTGGGGGTAAAATGACAATGACGACAAAACGCAACACGAAAATAAAGATGGTGATCACGGCCCGATGTACCATGTGAACGTGAACACACAAGTCGCGCTACACGGTACCAACTGGCCCGTAAACCGCGTAGGAAAATCGTAATTTCTACCCCAAAAACCATTTAAAAATTACCAAAAAAGTGTCATTACACTGAGAGAACTAAGTCTGCTTTAATTAGGTTGACATTATGACAATGTCATTTTTTTAGGAATAAAAAAAACTTCTTGATTCTAATTTGATAAAAACAAAACAGAGGCCCTAAACTACACGATTGCCCTAATCATAAGTAAATAGGGCCTACTAACAGTACCACTGCCACCTTAAAGTTGAACCGGAAAGAATGTTGCATATCCTGACGATACTTTCAGACTTTCAAAACAGATTTTTTTTTTTTTTTTACGTAGAGTTGTACCTCAGAGAGTATACTTTCATGTGAGAACTGTAAGGAATATGTTGACAAAGTCATTAAGAGAGATTTGAAGGCGAATGTGTGGCCAACTTTGTGAATTTTTATATGTCACCGTCAGTTTCAGTTTGTACTGCATGTCGAAGCCCTAAACCGATCGCAACGCGTGACATGTACAAATTTACTAAGTCATGTACGTAGGCCTAAGTTCAAGTCACCTACAAACATGACAAATCTCTCTATATCAAGTCTTTCAAGACTTTGTCAACATATTCCTTACAGTACAAGTTACAATTCTCACAATCACATGCTGAGGTACAAATGTACTAGGTAAGCAAACAAATTGGGGGCCTTTTTTTCTGTTTCGAAAGTAGCGTCAGGTTTAGCTTGAGTAACTCCAGCTGACATGCTCATATTCATTCACATGTAATGAATATGAGCATGTCAGCTGGAGTTACTCTAGCCCCATAAATGTGGCCTATTTACTGGACTGCCTCCGTAAACATAGGCCACACATCCACATGTACAAAAATCGTGTCGACTTTGCCAAATTTTGATTTTTACATTTAGGCTTAGTTTGTAGGATTTTTTTGCTTTAGAAGCATACTCACCCTCTTTATAGGCTAATTAGAAAGTGCTGCCTTTTTCAGATGTCTAATTTTTGTGAAATTTCATGTTGAAATTTTGATACGCAAACGTGTAAAAATGAATCTGGAATTTTCACGAAAAATATACATCTGAAAAAGGCAGCACTTTCTGATTAGCCTATAAAGAGGGTGAGTATGCTTCTAAAGCAAAAAAACCCTACAAACTAAACCTAAATGTGGAAATCAAAATTTGGCAAAGTCGACACGATTTTTGTACATGTGGATGTGTGGCCTATGTTTACGGAGGCAGTCCAGTAAATAGGCCACATTTATGGGGCTAGAGTTACTCAAGCTACGTCAGGTTGTAACATTTTTTCCGTCTCTACAAATGTTCAATTGTGTCGCATCGCGTGACCATGCGCATGCGGTTATGAGGGTCAGTTTAATGAAGAAAAACGGACTAGGCCTATGACCTCTGGCACTGTGTGCCATGTGTGGCTCATCACTCAGCTCATTAGAAAGAACCTCACCTTGCTAATACAGTCAGCAAACTACTTTCCATCTTAGAGTTAGACATAGGAAGAACATAATGAGCATGACGACATGGATGAGGACCATAAATATCGGACATCAACGCGCAATTGGCTTTTTTTGGCAGTGACCTCATGCCCTGTGAAACACGATGACGTCATTAAATCGGGCTATGAACCTTCAGTAGTGAAGGTAATAGTCTGGCTTCCAGACCAATAGATTCTGACTAATTTAATGGGGGGGGGGGGAGGGGGGTTGCAACCCTGTAACAACCCTGTATTTAAATTTCCAGTACACTAGTGCTATCAGCCTAACTGCTCGTACTTCAAAATTCTTTTAAAAATACACAGAACTCCCACAGGTATTTAAACTGCACAGAAAAATGATGATGAACATGTCATCTTTCATTTTCTTCTCATTTTTGGGTGGGTTGATCATTGACTTTTCGAGAAATTCTCACCCAAAGAAGACGACCCCTATTTTCCCCAAAGCGGAACGGTAGCCTCAATGGCAAAATATCGCCACTTTCGAGCCTAATTGCATCCAAAATGCTCAGAATTTGGAGCTCCAAGTCTGGCCCAGAAGTCCACTGCTTCAATTCCCCAATTGTATGGCTCTCAGAACTCTAGGCTTATTGTTCGATCATGATGAGCTCAGTAGATATCAGCGGATCATGGGGTTTAATTAGGCCTATTACCGGTTTGCACCCTGGTGATTCTTGTGACAAATTTTTCTGACAACAATATTTGTCGTCCGGTAATAAAAAGGTTTTATTACCTGTCATGCTTATCCAAAATTTAAATATTGAGTTGATAATTAATATTAAGTGCTTGCATTTAAAAAAAAAAAGAAAACTTGAATAAAACCGACTTTCATGTAGGCCTACTCTACATTTTGAATCTTATGAAAACTCGGCGTAGCTCCTAGTCAAAGTTCGGCTTAAGTTGCCTGCTATTTGGGAGTCTCTAATATGAAGATTCCGGCTCAACATTAGACAATGTTTCTGTACAAGGGGGTGGGGGGGGGGGGGTAATACGGGGGCTCCCCTCCACCAACAACGCAATAATTTCAGCCATTGCGTAACATCTTTATCTTTTGTTATAAACAATTGGTTAAATTAAATTGTCAGAACTTATCTCAGATCTCACTGGACACAATTCAAAATTCGGGGCCCGTGGCCTTGACCATGTTGACAGAGCGCCAGTCCGGCAGCACTGTCTCTCCGCTATATATTGCTCTATATTCGTTTAGCCAGCAGCTACGGGCCTACTTCGATTAACTAAGGGGAAATTGACGTCCAGTGCCTCTTCCTGATCATTTCGGGCTCGATTTCTAGACCTGGTTTGCAGTGATTTTGACTGGAAAATCTGCTTGGTGCGTGATGCTTATGGCTTCTATATGGTGGACTGCTTCACGCAGTGTGCCTATGCACAATCAGTGGCTTGGCTTGACTGCCCTGCTATTGTCCATCTCCATTCAGTTGACTGTCGTCCACTATATCAACACAATGAACTTTTCACGGAGTGAACTCATCCAGTTGAACAGTTCTACTGTTCGGCACCCAAGACTGCCCACTGAAGTGTACAACAACATACGCAAACTTGGCATCAATCGCAAGCCTCCTACTCGTCGAGGGAAACGGGCAGGGAGGATAGCCTCTACCACCTTGGTAACTGGTAAATCCATTAGTGACCCAACCAATGATGTTCCTGTGATTTCTTCCCAATCCCCTCCAACTCGTAACTGTCACAACACATGTCCCAGAGGTATACACCTTAGTCTCTGGAATTCCCAGTCCATAAGAAATAAAACTGACATACTATGTGAAATGATAATTGAACATGATACTGATATCATGGTTTTAACTGAGACTTGGTTGAGACATGATGATCAGGTAGAGATGGGGAGCATGTGCCTACCTGGTTACTCGGTATTGAGTGTACCTCGTCAGACTGGTACCAGGGGTGGGGGCATAGGACTTGTCTCAAAGAGTCAAATGAATCTACAGCTGAGAAATAGTGTACTGCCCGAAACAAGCACATTTGAACATGCACTTGTCACCTACCGTCACAACAACATTAACTTGGCCATAATCTACAGAACCCCATCCTCCTCTGTCACTGAGTTTCTTGTGGAGTTCGATGAGTTCCTCTGCGCTTTGGAACATCTTCCTGGAAGGACACTTGTTCTTGGAGATTTCAACCTTCATTATGATTGTCCATCCAAGCCTGAGGTCAGATCGTTTACTACCATCATCTCCTCCTGGAACTATCGTCAAATAATTGAAGGTCCAACCCACACAGCTGGTCACACTCTCGACTTGGTTCTTGTCAAGAATGATGATACCTTGCTCAAGTCACACACTCTGGATCAACGTCAACTTTCTGACCACCTTGTCATTAACTGTGTCCTCGATCTCTATGAACCCTGTGGCTTGCAAACAACATATTCATCACGGAACTTCAGATCCATTGACTCTGATGCCTTTCATCAAGATCTTGCAGGCAAAATGAAGAGTATTCTATTGGGTGGCTGTGATGACATTGATGACCTTGTCAAATGCTACAACTGCGCCTGCCGGGAAGTGCTCGATGATCACGCTGCTGCTACCATCCGTTCCCGTGCCGTCCGTCGCAAGCCCAGATGGTTTAACAAATCTGTGGAAGCCGCTCGTCGTGCACGGCGCCGTTCTGAACGGAAATGGAGGACGACCCATGCAGAGACGGATCATCGAGCCTATGTCCAGTCGCAACGTCATGTGTCCGATGCCATCACTCAAGCCAAGACAGAATACTTCAATGGACGGTTTTCCAATTGTAACTCTAAAGATATGTTTAAAACCATTCATGAATTACTGAATACAAATCATTGTCATTTACCCGATTCTACCTCCTCAGATAGACTGGCTAATGAGTTTGGTGATTTCTTCGTATGTAAGGCTGACAAGATACGTTCTGAAGTAGATAACGTTGCTAGTGCTGGTACACCCATTGAAAATGGGGATAATAACCGATTGTGTTGCACTATGTCTTGCTTTGAACCTGTTTCTGTAGACGAACTAACTAGCCTTGTCATGAAATGTCCATCCAAATCCTGTGACCTTGATCCCATGCCCACATGGTTAGTTAAAAACCACTTACCGGCTCTTATCCAGATCCTATGTCGCATTGTGAACGGCTCTTTGTCTGCAGGTGTGTTTCCAGCAGAACTCCGTAGAGCTTTGATAACCCCTGTCCTGAAAAGACCTTCGCTTAACACTCAGCAACTGCAAAGTTACCGACCCGTGTCAAACTTACCCTTTTTAGGTAAACTTATTGAAAAGGTTGTTTCCTCACAGGTCGCATCTTTTGTCCATTCCAATAACTTGTCCGAGCCTTTGCAGTCTGCTTACCGGCCGACACATAGCACTGAAACTGCTCTCCTCACAGTTCAAGATGTTGTCCTTCGAGCTATTGACTCCAAGCGAGGCGTCTTCCTCATCATGATTGACTTGTCGGCAGCATTTGATACAGTTGATCACAGTATCCTCTTACAACGTCTCCGTCACGACTTTGGTCTGGAGGGTACTGTCTTGAGCTGGTTTCTTTCGTACTTGAGGGGTAGAACGAGTCAAGTCCTTGTGAGGGAGGTGCTCTCTGCTGAAGCCAATCTCAAATATGGTGTTCCTCAGGGATCTGTCATTGGTCCACAGCTCTTCACTTACTACACTCACTCTATTGGTCAAATAGCCCGTCAACATTCCATACAATACCACATTTATGCAGACGATGTCCAACTGTTCTTGACCTTTGACCCCATCCAGCCAGGAGATGCTGTCTGTGCTCTGCTTCGATTGTCTCAGTGTGTCCAAGAGCTTCAATCTTGGATGATCTCCAATAAACTCCGGATGAATCCAGATAAGACGGAGTTCTTCATTGCGTCTTCTCCTGCTCACTTCAAACATCTCAAACATTTCACTTTCAACCTTGATGGCATTGAAATTCACCCTTCTCTCTCGGTCAGAAATTTAGGTGTTGTGTTTGACCACGACATGAAAATGTCTGACCACATAACACAACTCTGTCGCTCTCTCAACTGGCACATACGCAACCTTAGCCGGATCAGGAAATTTCTTGACTTTAATGCCTGCAACAATGCTGTCCGTGCCCTGATTCTTTCAAAACTGGACTATTGCAGCTGCCTTCTTAATGGAGTTTCCAAGAAAGAAATATCTCGTCTTCAGAGACTTCAGAACAGATGTGCAAGGCTTATCTTTCAGACCCCCAAACACACCCATACCTCTCCTCTGCTCAAACAACTACACTGGCTCCCAGTCGCCGAACGCATTCAGTTTCGCACACTGGTTCACACTTACAAGTCACTTAAACACTCTGCGCCAGATTATCTCTCCTCTCTTCTCAAAATCCAAAAGAGTCCTTACTCCCTTCGTTCTTCTGCTTGTGAGTCTCTTGTCATCCCCAAGTCACATAAATTGGCTGGTGACAGGGCCTTCTCTGTTGCCGCCCCCCGGCTATGGAACAACCTGCCCATCTCCATCAGAAACTCATGCAGTGTCTTTTCCTTCAAAAAGGCTCTCAAGACCTACCTTTTCCCCAAAACGTAGCTGCATGTCCTTTTTTTGTTTTTGTTTTTGTCTTCTATTCCTCTTTCTTCTTTTCTAGCGCCTTGTATCCTTTGGTAATTTGGCGCTATACAAATCCAGTTATTATTATTATTATTATTGACCAGGTAACAGATGGGGCCCACAATGCCCATGCGGTTGCATCGGTGGGTCCCATCTGGCGCCCAATATGGCGCCCAGGATTCTGCACCCAAGACCCGTGGGCGCTCATCATCTGGGTTGCCCATAATAGCCCAGTGCATCTGGGGCCCATCTGGGACCCACAAGGTATTACACGTACTGTAAAATTGGCTGAATATGGGCTGGGTCATACGGGCAAAGATCCATGGGACCCATATGGGTGCAGACCAGTAAATGGGTCCGAAATTGCCTGCGCCGGCCAAATCGCGATTTGCATGCCCTCAAAATCTTCGGTATTTGAGCATGCTGTGGGCCATGAACTTGAGGGTTTGTAAAAAATATGGGTGGAAGCCGTGCACAGGACTGGGAGCTTGCAGTTCTGT